TCCTTTGCTCAAATAAATCCCAGAAAAATCTAGGAACTATAGAATCAAGCAAAGTATTTAAGAAAATTTTATCTAGCCCATTTTTATATTGGAATTTATTATTTAAAATTAGAGCTTCTCTTGTAGGCTTTTATAATTATTTCTAATAATTCCAATTAAACAACAATTTATAATTTAAGGATTTTTAAACAAGAAAAGCTCTTAACAATTATAATTAGATCATTAATGATTAAATAATTACTGAACTGTTCTTTGTATCATTTAGGAATTGAGCTCTGAAAAAATCCGAGAAAATTTCAGAGAGTAAAATTAATCATGGAGAATTTAATAAAAATTAAATCCAACCATGCTTTATATTTAGGAAGTTTTATTTCCCACATTTAACTTCACTTGTAAATTAAAGAACATTTAATATAAATTCTATTAATAATTTATTAGATAATTTATAAATCCTAAAACGAAAATCAGGCTGTGACAAAGACCATGTGAGGCTGCTAGGGAAAGTAGCACACGAATTGTGGTCAATCTAGCAACAGGTGAGTAAGTGTCAAAGAAATCTTCGCCTTCTTTCTGAGTATAGCCCTTAGCAACAAGCCGAGCCTTGTACTTTTTTCAATAGTACCGTCAGGCCTAAGCTTCTTCTTGAACACCCATTTGCACCCCACAGGTTTACACCCATAGGGTCGCTCTGTCACCTCCCAAGTCCCGTTAGCGATAATGGAATCCATTTCACTACGGACAGCCTCCTTCCATTAGTCTGCATCAGGAGATGCATATGCTTCTGAAATTGACTTAGGAGTGTCATTCACGAGGTACACAGTGAAATCATCACCAAAGGACTTAGCCGTCCTTTGTCTCTTACTCCTTCGAGGAGCTTCACTGACATCCTCCTCAGTGACATGTTCATGTGTATGTTCAGTTTGTTCTGGTGGTGTGATTGAACTGGGAATTACTTCAGAGGGTTAACTCGAACTACTATGTGTATCCTTCATTGGGAAAAAGCTCTCAAAGAAGGTAGCATCACGAGACTCCATAATTGTACCAACATGCATGTCAGGTACCTCGGATTTAACTATTAAAAATCTGTAGGCAATGCTGTGATGAGCATATCCCAGAAAGACACAGTCCACAGTCTTAGGTCCAAGTTTGTGCTTCTTCGTTATTGGTACATTGACTTTCGCCAAGCACCCCCATGTGCGCAAATAAGAAAGTGATGGTTTTCTCCCAATCCATATCTCATATGGTGTTTTGTCCTTATTTCTGTTAGGAACTCTGTTTAACACATGATTCGAGGTCAACAATGCCTCCCCCACCATGCCTTAGGTTGTCCCGCGGTGTCCAACATGGCATTCACCAAGTCAGTCAGTGTGCGATTCTTCCTTTCAGCAATCCCATTAGACTCGGGAGAATAGGAAGGCGTCCTCTCATGTATGATGCCATGTTCCTCACAGAATAAGTCAAACTCGTTTGAGAAAAACTCTCCACCACGATTAGACCTAAGCCTTTTTATCTTTCTGTCAAGTTGATTTTCAACTTCTGCCTTATAAATTTTAAAATAGTCTAGAGCCTCGTCTTTCGTTTTCAACAAGTACACATAGCAAAATCTAGTAGCATCATCAATCAATGCCATGAAATATCGTTTTCCACCCTTCGTCAACACCCCATTCATTTCACAAAGATCTGAATGTAGGAGTTCTAGTGGTGCCAAGTTTCTCTCCTCGACAGCCTTGTGAGGCTTGCGAGGTTGCTTCGATTGCACACAACTATGGCACTTAGAACCTTTGACAATGGAAAACTTAGGAATTAAACACATGCTGGAAAGCCGAAACATCAAGCCAAAATTAATATGACATAAACGTGAGTGCCAAACATTAGCCTCATCATCCACACTGCCACAAATATGGTTCACAGACATATTGCAGAAATCAGAAAGGGAAAAGCGGAACAGGCCTCCGCACTCATAACCTTTATCAATAAAATATCCATGTTTAGACACGACTACTTTATTAGACTCAAAACCCAACTTAAATCCGTCTCTAGTCAGACGGGAGCCACTAACAAGATTCCTGTCGATAGAAGGGACATGCTGCACGTTCTTCAGCTGCACGATCTTTCCCGAAGTAAACTTCATATCTACCATGCCAACACCACGAACAGAAGCATGTGACCCATTCCCCATTATGACGGTGGAACCCCGTGCGACCTGATAAGAAGAAAACAATGAGATGTCAACACAAACATGTACATTGGCCCCAGTATCAACCCACCAATTAGTAGACTGATTAACTGAAAAAACAGTAGGTAAATTACCATACCCGCTTCCATCTCCAGTATTGCCAATGGTCACATTAGCAGACTTAGAAGTCTGCCCTACAGGTGCCTTCATCCCGTTGCGCTGTGGACACTTCCTAGCCAGATGACCAGGTTGCCCACACACAAAGCAAGTCCTCTCATCCTGGTTAGGATTGATATTGTTCTTCTTCTACTTCTTGAAGTTGGTGGTCTGTTGAGCTTTGTATTTCCCCTTGCTCTTGTTCTGGGCCTTGTGCACAACATTGGCACTGGACTGCCCACCATCGCCCTTAGACGCGGCGTCTTTTTCCCGAGCTTTCTCCTCAACATCAAGAGACGCTATCAACCCCTCAACGGAGTATTCCTGTCTCTTGTGTTTAAGTGCAGTACTGAAACTTCTCCATGATGGAGGTAGTTTCGCAATAATGCACCCGGCCACAAATTTGTCGGGTAAGACACACTTAAGGAGTTCGAGTTCCTTAGCTATGGTTTGTATCTCATGAGCCTCTTCGACTACAGAACGGTTGTCAGCCATCTTGTAGTCATGAAACTGCTCCATAATATACAGATCATTGCTAGCATTAGTAGCACCGAATTTAGTATTCAGTGCATCCCACAACTCCTTAGCGTCGGTCATATGCATATACACCTCGACCAGACGATCGCCAAGAACGCTAAGAATGCATCCCACAAAGAGAGTAGTGGCTTCCTCGAATTGCTTCTGCTGATCAACAGTAAGAATTCCTTCAGGTTTGCCAGTACTCACCCAGAAGCATTTCATAGCCGTCAGCCACAGAGTGACCCTGATCTGCCATCTCTTAAAGTGCACACCGGTGAATTTATCCGGCCTCAGTGCATCGGCAAAACCAGCCATAGTAAAATCACAGCGCCTATAATAAGTTTTTTGGATTGTTGAAATTATAAGCACATAATGATTTAATTTATTCCATAAATAAATCATGACATTGCAGATGTAAACTAGATTGAACGCATCATTAGATCCACACATGTAAACTAAGCAGTAAAGCATGAACAGATATGCACAACATGTAGAACACGTACCGAGGTGGCGGAAAGACCGGTTGCTCGGCAGGAACTACTCGCGGTTGCGAGCGTCGACGAAGGCGTGAAGCACGCGAGTGGAGAGGAAGGCGAGCCGTCGCGGACAAACAGGGAGCAGTCGCGCGAAGCGCTTCCCAAAAACCTTATTGCCGCCTTCTCCCGGTGCAGGACGTCGAAGGTAGAGGTTCCGGAGACCTGCTCTCCCGATCGCCGGTGCACGCCGGCGAGCGGGATGGAGTAATCTACGAGCGACGGCGCAGTACAGAGTAGGAGGCAAACCCTAGATTAATTTCGCGTGTGTTGCGTGAAGGCGGCGGCTCGGTTTATATAGAGATAGATCGCCTGATCAGGGCGCCCGCGTAAACCGAACCGGATAAGTCGTGCGTGTAGGCGGCGGCTCGGTTTATATACAGATAGATCGCCTGATCAGGGCGCCCGCGTAAACCGAACCGGATAAGTCGCGCGTAATTTCCTGCAGCAAAACAAAACTGTAAAAGGAGGCTGCATCTGCGCAATGGTGAGGAGCCAATTTTGCGGACCATTCGACGCGTACATCATCCACGCGTCGCCTGCCCTGCCAGGCGAGGCGAGGTGAGCGAGCACGTGTTTCCTCTCTTCTCTCCACCACACATGCTTCAAGTGGCTAGGAGGGCATCCTCCCTTTTAAGGAGGTCCCCCTCTCCCAGAATAAGCAAGGTGGTACTAAACTCCACATGCATGCCATCCCATGAGGTGGGCTTTTGTGATTTTCTAAAGAATTAATCTTCGAATGGGCCGTAGCCCATCTATTAATTTCAAGATGGGATGTAGGGAGTATTAGAAATCTCGATAGAGGACGGGGGTATATATTACGATTTTGGCGCTTGGCATTATGACAAACGAGGGATTTTCTTTGTGTTATAAGATGATAGTACTAGTGCAAACGAAAAGAAGGGAAACACGGGTAGAGGCCTAGAGAGCATTGTGGTACTCTCAGATTCAAAAAATAGAGAAGATGTGGAAAACAAAGGTCTTATCCCCAAAATTAAGGTGTTGCATCTCTGCCAACAGGTGAAGTACGATTCAGGAGGTACATGGCACAGGTTGATGTATCAATGGAGGATGCAAAGCTGTTGCTGTTTGAGATGAAAGATACGCTTAAGGCTTAATCAGGATGATTTTATTAAAATGCGTGTTACCCTTTAGGCCAATACTGTAGGGCAAGAGGGCGTGCTATACTATACATGGAGGATTTGGAGCATGGAACAGGTCAAAGCAAAACCTGTCAGAGAGAGGCAGAGTGTAGCTCTGCCAAAACCTCTGCCAAGACTTCAGTAAACAGTACGCACGCGTGCTTGTTGAGTGGAAAATGCACATCCCACTATCCCAGCACAAGGGTGAGGAATGGCCAATGGGGATGTTGGGCTTGTCTGGTTCCTTGCCATTTGCAACGATGACAAAATTTTGGCAATGGCAGAAGTTGGGTCATTGCCGAAAAAAATTTGGTAAAAGTTAGTATCTGAGTAAGTCACTAAGCCAAATAAGACGGCAATGATTTTTTTTTCTGGCTATAAACCAGACAGACTGACATTATTTTTTAGCTTGGTTGAAAAAGGCTACAAACCATACAAGCCCATTGTGACAAGTCTGCACATCTTCCCCTTGACTAGAAAACAGCCATTCCAATTCATTAGATTCATTAGACTAGATTATTCCATTCAACACCGCAAAAGCATACGAATTTCATTAGATTCATTAGGCTAGATGATTCCATTCGACACCACAAAAGCATCCGAGGCATTAAGAGGATACAAGTGTTTCATCACGACATCACCCATCCATCCATCACAGACCAAATGAACTCCCCCAACTTCCTGGAGCTAACGACGACGATGCTTCATTCATTCAGACGCCGGTGGATCCGAACCCTCCCTCTCCCCTGACGGTGGCGTCGAGGTCCTCCACCTCGGCGACCTCCGGCGTCACGATCACCTCGATGATCATCTGCGCGATCCGGTCGCCGGGCTTCACGGCGAAGTCGGTGTCGGAGTGGTTGAAGAGGATGACCCCTACCGGGCCACGGTAGTCGGCGTCGATCACCCCGGCGCCTACGTCGATCGAGTGCTTCAACGCCAGCCCAGACCTCGGCGCTAAAACCGGACAGGCATTTCGTCAAACACCTGGTGCGCAAGCAAGAAAGGAATGGACGGAAAAGAATAAAGAGAGGAAATGCTCACCGACGCGCGCGTAGGTGCCCTCCGGGATGGCGATGCTGAGGTCCGTCGGCACCATCGCCTTCCCCCTCGCCGGCACGACGACCTCCGCCGCGCTGAGATCAGAAAAAAAAACCCACAAAAACGGTGTAAACAACCACCAACGGCGATGCCATTTTTGTTTTTCACGGGGAGACCTTGCCGGGCGCGTACCTCGACAGGTCGTAGCCGGCGGCGAGGGCGGAGCCGCGGGACGGCAGGACGGCGTTCTCGGAGAGCTTCTTGACCTTGAGCAAGGGAGCAACCTTGGCGATCTTGTGCGGGGGCTCCTGGACGGCGGAGTCAGCGGCGGCGGCGGCGGCGGAGGCGTTGCCGTTGGTAGCGGTGGCCATGGCGACGGCTGAGAGAGCTCTCGGCGGCAGGCGGTGGTGGCGCGAGAAGGGGACGAACGGTGGAGGAGGTGAGTGGATTTGGGGGAAGCGGCGGAGGCGGCAATGGTGGTTAAATAGAGGGGAGATGAGGCGGGAACAGATGGCGCCAAGTTTTCCCGCCATATTTCTCCTCCCACCAACGCCGCGCCCGAGTTAAATAGAGGAGGGTTTGGTCTCCCACGCGGTCGCTGCTGTTTTAAATGCATGGATATGGATGCGTGCGCGTGCGGGGCAGTTTTTCGGAAATCTCGCCGGATTTCCTGTGATTTGTTATTGGCAGGATGATTTTCTTTTTCTCATCTGATATGCTACTGTTTTTTTATGAAGGATAATTTGCCAGAAAAAAATTACGAATCGCTTATTATAATCCCAGATAAAAGGGTCCATATAAGCCCATAGGATGCATAAATGCATTTATCCTGAGTTACTGACCGTTTTACATATGTATAACCTTTATCTGAATAGCGAACTTTCCGACTTTTAAGGGACTGTTCACTTTAATGTCATTTTCAACCTTACCAAATTTCGGTGAAGTTGCTAAAAAAGTGGCTACATTTAGTTTGCTGTCGAATTTTGCTAACTATATAAGAAATCCTGTTTACCAAAATTTTGACAACTATACCAAAATTTTGACAAAGATTTTTTTCATCAAAGTGAACAGGCTTAAAAAAGAGTGACAGATATCAGGTGCCAAAGGGTTCGAAAAAGTACCAGGGCTAACTAGTAGTACTACATGTTAATTTCGTAATCACCATGGCAAACAACTGACCAACCCGATAATCAAAATATACGAAACATAGTGCTGTCAGTTGTCACAACTGTCAACCTGGTAAGCATAATATTACTGCTTTCTCCATTTCATATTATAAAACTTCCTAGCTTTACCCTCATATTATAAAACTTTCTAGCATTACCCACATTCATATATATTTCATATATATGTTAATGAATTTAGACAAACATATAGTCTAGATTCACTGACATATACTACCTCTGTTTTTTAATAGATGACGTTGTTGACTTTTTCCCACATGTTTGACCATTCGTCTTATTCAAAAAAAAATTTCCGTAATTATAATTTATTTTGTATGAGTTATCTTATCACTCATAGTACTTTAAGTGTGATTCATATCTTATACATTTGCATAAAATTTTTGAATAAGACGAGTGGTCAAACATATGAGAAAATGTCAATGGTGCCATCTATTAAAATACGGAGGGAGTATATGAATGTGGACAATACTAAAAAGAGAGTAGGAAATACACTAAACATGTGCACAAGCAGCACAGTACAATGGACAGCTGATATGCCTGACTTGGAAAGGGACAAATTCATAATCAGTTGTGAAATACAAATGCAAAAGTTGGTAGCTTTCTACTACAAAAAGAAGTTATACAACAAGAAGAGACCGATCCGAATGGATGATGCTTTCTGGTAATATAAACACTACATCAACTTAACACGGTGAGTCAGAGCACACGTCTTGCCAAGACAACAGATTGCATTTTTCCACTGGACATTAGGATATGATACAGCTGATTGCCTGATTCTATGCTACAAGACCAACAAACTGATTTCCATAGCCCATCGAGTTGGTCGTAATTCTTAACACAAGGAACTTACAACAACACAGGAAGAAAACTGTCCTTCAAACTATTTTCCGGTGTCCGCTGAAGGCCCAAATCTGAAAATGTTCAACAAGCAGCAACTCAAACGTTAACATGCTGGAGTTTGCACCAAAATATTTTCTTTTGCTTTCACTTCTAGAACATGGCAAATGCTAAACACAAAACTCAGTAAGTTCCGCTGGGATCTTTATGAGATAAAAAAGCACCACGTTAATCATGGCAAAGCTACAACTAAAGGGTAACGGTTGTCAAAATCAACAAATGCATGACTTCCTTACACAGCACAACGGCCGGATAAACTAGCAAATATTGCCGACCAAAGTGTTCTTCTGTATCTTAATATTAAGTGTTAATCTATGATATAAGAACATTTTCAGTTAGTAAGGATGTCAAATTAGTACAAAGTGCAGAAGTTAGTTGTTGTTTCTAAAAAGCAACTCACAAGCTATTAATTTTGGAATAAGGACAGCAGGTCTTACAACTGATAATTACATTCCAGCGTGATTATAATTTAACAGTGTTAAGGTAGTACAGTTCATGGCATGCACTTGATTATCAAAAGAAGCTTTCGTACCTTCAAATTCTTGTCCCAACTTCCTGTACACAATGCACTCCCATCAGAAGAAAGACCAAGGCAGCTTATACGCCCCTCATGAGAGTTTTGGAGGTTTCCCAAATTAAGTACCACCTATCAGAAACAAAAGAATTCACAAGTGAACCGATTTTACAAGTTACAACAGTAAAACCAATATATAAAGAGAGAAGAAATATATATATTCAAAGCCTACCCCCTATCAGTTACATTATTGAAACAAGGCGAAAATGACCCTCCAAGCACGAATTCAGCTACTCCCTCTGTTTCACAATATAAGACTTTCTAGTATTGCCCACATCCATATAGATGCTAATGAATTTAGACATTATTATATATATAGATTCATTAGCATCTATATAAATGCAGACAATGCTAGAAAGTCTTACATTGTGAAACGGAGGAAGTAGTTATCTTCAAACCAGAAAAGTTACAACATGCCGACATACAAGCATGTTTACATTGTTGACAGAGTTAAGGTCGTGTAACTCAAATAGCATATCTTCCAACTGACTGTAATATAATAGTATAGTTGTATATAACAGGTATAATACAATATTTGCGATATTTTTTCAAAAAATGGAAAGCATGACTATGTAATATATTAAAGTCCACAGTAATTTGGTCAATATTGTTTTCAGGTTCTGTTTTCACACTATCTAAGCTGTAGTAAAATTCATGAGAAATGGCCAATGATGCAAACCTCAGCGAGAAGTGTGTCCCACACATAACAGTCACCATTGGAGTATCCAGCAAAAAGAAGCCTTCCTGATATCGAAAATGCAATAGATGTAACAGTTGGGAGTTCATTATCATTTCTATCAGGTTCCCGACTGTATACTTGAAGTTGGTGCCCTGTTCTCACGTCAAATAATCTACACGTTCCATCATCTGAACCAGTACCAAACCTCTGGCCATCAGGGAAAAACTTGACACTGTTAATGTCACCCTCATGACCATGATATGTTCTAACTGCCCGGCTTGCAATTCTGATATCCCACAGCCTTACAGTTGCATCACATGAACCCGAAACAAACATATTCGAATTTGATGAGTTTATGGACAAGCTGCAGCAGAAAGTAGATATATTAGAGCACTAAAAAAAACACCTATGCAAACAGAACCATAGCAGCTTATATATTTCAAAACAATAACCAAATTAAATTAAATCACTTTCAGCAGTTCATTTGAAAAAAAGGCATGTTGCTACATTACAAAGATGTTTTCTATGCCACGTGTATAAGCCAATTCATTACTATTTTGTGCCTCAACTAGATTCATGAAATTGTTTCACAAACCTTTTTAAGACCAAATGCTTCATCTGCTACCATGTGACAACATTGCATACTCCCTCTGTATATTTTTATACGGAGGGCATACTATTTATAGCCATATCTTGCAAGCAAACTTGTACCACTTAATTGATGCAGTGAACATAGCTAAGACACATCATTAGGGAACAAGGGCAAAACACAGTGATAACAAACAAGATATATCTATCGCACTAACAGTATTCACATATTACTGAAGACGGAAACCTAGCATTCAGTAGCTTAAGTTGAAGCTGTCATATGTGAGAAGAGGATTTCAATTCAGTGCATGGAGAACAGTTAAATGCTATGCAATAGTAAGCAGGATGTCCAAATGAACCAAGTCAAGAAAGAAAGAAAAATACCTCAAAACATCTGCCGTATGCCCTGATGGGAATTCACCGCCAAATATTGATATCCTTTGGCCAGTAGTAACATCCCACAGGACACATGTTTGATCACCAGAGCTAGTAATTAGGCGGGTTTCCTGATCTGGGACATACTGACAGGATGAAACATAGCCTTTGTGTCCGGTAAGTATTCTTGATACTGGTATATTCCCATCTCTGTCTGCTTGTGAGTTAAGATTGAAGATAGAGCATGCGCTGTCAAGACCACCACAGGCAACAGATTGGCCATTGGGTGCAAATGCACATGTCATCACCCATGGGCAATGTAACTTTATGGCATGTGTTTTTTGACTTGTTAATGCATTCCATACAATTAGCCTTCCATCTTGTGAGGCACTGACTATCCAATTCTTTTCAGGGGTCCAATCCAGAGAATATACCTGCAGTGACTAATGAGTTAATGCTAGGCATAAAACATGAAATCATTTGATAAAAGCATTTATTTTTGCCGACCAATGTACCACAGAGGAATTTGAAGTGTTCAATTGCCACAGCAAAGTAGCAGAACAAAAAAAAAGGCATCTTAGAACAGTTGGACCTTGGAACTTGGAACCAACAGCAGATCATAAATTCCTTGCATTCCAATTTTTCTAGTATTGCAACTTTATAAACATCAGTAGTTTGTGACTTTGTGTTCATTTGGTTGCCAACCTAGGGGTCATATTGCTTATTTGACCTGATTATGCGGACTATCCGTAACCGGTGATCATATGTCAATGTTGCGGCCTTACGAGCACTAACTTATACACCCTAGATCCATTAGAAGGCCAGTTCTTTAATGAATTGATGAAAAGTATCCTGAATTGAGCTGAGTATTAAAGATTATGAAAAATACACTATTTCTAGCAACCACATCTGTCAACCAGCTATGCTATACACGCCATATAAGATCCTGGGGACTGAATAATGTGTCAATAGTAATGTAGATCTGCTGGACTAGCAACTGTGGAAGCACGTATTGGCGAATAGGGTTACGCTCATATCTTGTTTCAAGTCATAACCAAGGGATCTGACCAAACACAATAATCATTGAAACAGCTACTGCATTAACATTAATAGAGGCTCCAATTGCATTCTTCCACTTCTGCTTAGTAAACTGACACGATCTCCAATTACATGTTTGACCATTACTTCTAATCGTATGTCCATAAAAAAATATTAAAAATATAATGGTCTGAAAGTATTTTCCAAGACAATTCTAGAATGTCATGACACCTTTTAATATTTTGGGGAACATTCATGACCAAAATTTCCAGGTTTGACTGCACTGGATTCTAAAAGGCATCTATTTTAGAACGGAGGGAGTATTCATGCTACAGAGGATCCGAGTCCAATCAGTGATTGTACACTACCTGAAACTGTCTTCGCATGTTCAAGTATGAAGTTTTGTAAATATGCGCTGACAAAGAAGTAACTGGTGCAGCTACGGAATACACTTTGCTAGATGGCATATATGCACTATGTAATGTAATTTAGCGATATTTTGTTGGACTATATGTACGTTTAGTGATGTAATAGTGGTGTCATTATTTGTATTCAAGTATATTCATATATTTCACCGTATTGTAGTTTAACATATATATTATGAGGTCTTTTAGGACGCTCCATCTTACATGTAGAGTGGTAAGAGCAAGCAACAAATCCTAACCATTAGTTTGTATATTTGCTTTATCTAGTGATAGATATAATTCCATCTAATAATTAATAAATCACAGCAGAAGAGGAAACTATTAATGCCTGTAATTAATTAATTATTCTTTCTGCATACCAGGAATGTGCAAAACAAATTGCATACTTTACAAAGCAAACAGCTGCTGGTTTTAAAAAACAAGTGACTTTTGAAACCTCAAGATTTAATATGACAAATAAAAGTAATTCGAATTACATTCAACACCAACACAGTAATTCAGTTTTTTTTGGATGGTGGTGTGGGTGGGGGTTGGGGGGGGGGGGAGGCAAAATTATGCATTAAATATTTACTGTATGGGGCTATTACGTTCTTACCCCTGTTTTGGAGTCCAACTGTGGTTTTGCCCCTGTTTTTTAGGGTTTGCGTTTTCATCCCCCCCCCCCTCCTTCTGAAAACGAAGCAGAGCATTACCCCTAATTTGGATGGTCAGTTTAAATGGAGCACGAAAAGACATTTATACCCCCGTTTGCTATTGCATATTTGTCCCTTTTCTATAACACGTGTTTTACTCTATTTTGACCGGAGAGCATTGCTCTGAATATTTTCTTAAAGCATAAAGAGTTCTTGACAACAGAAATTTTCAGTGGGAGAATCAGACAAAAACAAGCCAAATTGGTATGGGGCCTTTGCCGAACCCTGACAAACCATGGGAACGGAGGAAGGACAGCTGGACAGTCGCATCATATGAACTCAAGAGAGGCAAGAATCGACCATGGATTTCAGTTGGTTTACTCTGCAATCTTCTAGCCCAGAGCCATGGTTATGCAGAGTCTGTAAGCCACAACTTAGGATTAGGATTTGTTGCCGAGGAGCCACTGCCGCCATAAAAAAACAGACTACTGCTTGCATCGATGCGCCGAGGAATCACCGCCGCCTGCTTGCCGGAGCCTCCGTGGACTGCCGTTTGCTTCAACGCGTCAAGGAACTGCTGCCTGCTCGCGTTTCCGCACAGGCTAGCCGGAGCCACCGCCACCACCTGCTCGCATTTCCACACAGGCTCGCCAGAGCCGCTGCCGCTGCCGCGAACTGCTGCTGGCGTCACTGCGCCGAGGAGCCACCACCTGCTTGTGTTTCCGCACAGGCTCACGACCGCTGCCGCATGCTCTAGGTCTAGGATTTGTGGATGATCTGATGGAAACGGTGGAGGATAACAGGAGACTGAACATGCTCAAGGGTAGAATGGTAGTCTCATTTTTCTAAAATCGTTTTTCCCCCTTTTTTATGTCTCCTTAGCTCATTATTGTGGGACCCACCTAACTTCCATCCATAGTAGGGGTAAACGGTGACTTCATTTTGAAAAAACATGGGTAAATTTGCAAACCCTAAAAAGTGAGGGCAAAATCACAGTGGAGATTGAAAGCTGGAGTACAAACACAATTGTCCCTTACTTTATTGGCAAACAATTTTTATTGCAGGTTCATGATTTTATTTTTCTTTCCTTTTTACGCGATCTATTACCTCCAATGAGGTAATATGAATGCCATCCATTGGACCAAGGTGTAATTAAGAGTACCATAAAAAAAATCAATATACTATAAGAGAAACCAATGGTAACAATCTTTGAGACCATGACAAGTCAAACCATGCCGCATAAAAGTGAACAAAGGGAATACATGCAGCTGTGACTAGAAAGGAGAAATAAACACTGAACTATCCTCCTAGGAGAGACTAATGTTTGTATACCAAATCACTCAACCATGTCCAAGTTTTGCAATAAGCATGTTACCATTCCATGCATAAGGGAGGGAGGCAGCCAGCGATGGTTGTCTGTGACATTGCTTCTGCAAATCAACTAGTGGAATTTTATTCCATAAAATATACAAAAACAGTATTGCCTATATGGGGAATACATTCTAACAAAACCTATTTTTGGCACTTTTTTTAGAATATGACTCTGGTTGATTCAATGGACACAAGTGAAACAACATTTCTAGGGGACGATAGAATTCTAAACAGGTAAATGATGAACTGGTTGTCAAAATTGCAATCTAGTTCAACCTAGTTCTGTCTATGGGTAGTACTATCTGATTAGGATGTAATGCCATCTATAAAAAAATATTAGCCAACACATGCTTAAATATTGTAAAGTATCATAGCGATTTCACTTTTTAGAAGGAAAAGGACTAACCCCTGCTCTGATTGAAAATGAAATACACAGGTAAAGAATGGAATTCTAAGGATGGAAGCAACCAAAAGTGCATCTACCTACACAGGTTTTTTATTATTACACACAAAATATAGCATTTAACAAAGTTACTCTACTTATCCACCTTCATCTCATTCCTGTGAACCAAAGGTCTTGAGCCTTATCCTTTATAACAAGAGCAACCTCCATAAAAGAAGACTTTCTCCGCTTCCCACAGTAAAGGATAAGCAGACCAAAACATTCTTGGACCAATAAAGGTTTACAAAGTTTGTTCCTCAAGGCAAATGGTGGCTTTATATTTAGAAATAGGAGAACCAAACCTCCTCAAAACCAGAGAGTAGCTACACACCACACAGTTCAACTAATTGTATTACCATTTATATAACATAAGGCAAATAAAGCAACAAAAGCATGCAAAACAGCAAATATGACATAAGTGCTTAATTAACTTTCTTCTTCTTGAATAGCATCTCGAATTCAAGTTCCTCCTACCAACATTCCTAAACACAAGATAATTTAACTCTAATCTACAACAATGCAACTTGACCAGTATTAAAAACATGCTAAAATCCACACAAAATTAGACCAAATAATCAATATTTGCCCAAAAATGATGCATTCAACTTAATGTCAAGTTTCTTAACTAGAGGTACCAACCCAATCACCGAATCTTACTCACTCGAAATTAACTGGGCTTACACTACCACCCCGTCTAGCACCAGTTGCAACTATTTCTAATCGCAAACAAGTGCTAGTACTTCATCCATCTCTTCTTCCACAATTCAACCTCCAAAACCGTACGACCGAACCCCAATTCGCAAAAGCTGTACCGAAATTGAGATACGAGAGGCAGAAAGTCAACTGATCAGCAACCTTTCCGCTGTGGCCTTGAAGCGTGCGGCAGCACACCAGATCCGTCGGGTTGAAGCTCACCGGCGTCCGCCCCTGCGTCCTCGAGTACCTCTCCACTGCACATACACATACACACACCCCAAAACAATCAGCAAAAAAAATAAACCCCGCTAAATTCACCCCGAGCCCTCGAGAGCTCCCACCGCCTGTGGGGGTTGGAGGGGTGGGTGGGGGGGGACCTCACCGTCGGTGTCGAGCAGCATCTGCCGCCTCTGACGGAGCCGCTCCCGCAGGGAGTTCACCGACGCCGTGGCCGCCGCGTGCTTCTCCTTGAGCTCCGCCACGGACGCCATGCCGCCGCCGCCCGCACGCCCCCCGCGACCTCGCGCTGGTTGAGGGAGGGGGGATCTACTGGGATCCGGGCATGGAGGCGAGGAACGCAATGGCCTCGGCTGGAGCTTTCCGGAGCTCGCGAGGAGGAGGAGGATACTACCACGGCGGCGGCGGCGAGAAACGGACGCCGAAATGGGGTGGAGGAAGAGAGGGGGGGGGGGGCGAGTTGTTGGGGGACGCGTTGCGTTGGGTTTAGGAGGAGGAAAGAGGAGGAGGTGTCCGACTAGGCTGTTTTTATGTGGATGACATGTGGGGCCCACCTGAACGTGGGGCCCGCGGTAGTAGGGTTGGTTTTATGGCAGACTGGGGAGAAGTGGGGGTAAAGGGACCACCGGGGAGTGACCGTTGTGTGAGCGGGCGACTGTCACATGTTTATGCAAGTTTTTTTTTTTGAGAAACTAGTTATTGTTGATTTGTTGTCAGCTAGTAGTATCTGTGGCTTGATTTTCTCTGTTGTTCAACTGAGTGTAGAGAGTTCGGAAGAAGAAGAAGATGCATCGATGCTGATACGAGATTTCTCGAAGGCTAAATCCTATGAAATGACATTGAATTTCAATCGGAATACAATGTGTAAAATAGAGAACTATAAATCAATTTATAGAAAAGATCATTTGACTTATAAACTTTGGGTCTCTAAACTTTAGATGTGTAAACTTGGGGTGTATAAACTTTAGATGCATAAATTTACTAAAATAGAAAAATAATGTGGTGCCAAAAAAAGAAACCACGTGAAGGAGGGGGTGATCGCTAGGGGCGATCGATCCTCCGTTAGCCTTTTCGCGACCTCCTACGCACGGTGAGAATGGATGGAATGATGACATCTGTATTTTAAGTAACTGTAAAACTGTTCAATTCTTTCATATAAAAGAATATTTCTTTAGATTTCATTATATTTCGCTCACAAGTCAATACAGTATGACTCAAAAATGGGAATTACAACACTTCCCTTTGTAACCGTCAATACTTTTCTTTCTAAATCGCCACCATTTTTTTTTTACAATGTGTATGGGATCCCTTTGCAAGGTTGATTCAACAACTCAGCTCTTACAGAAGAATGATGTTGAAAGGTCAATCATGTTGCCACATGGCAAGAAAAACCAACGAAGGAAAATGGCCAAAAGATCTGGCCTACCAACTGCTATCCCACAAACTAATTCCACAACATCGAAAATGACACTACGGGTACCTTTTTTTTTTCTTCCGTTTGACGGATAAAAGCACCTTTCAATTTCAGATTACGACCCTGATGTTATATTGTCTTTTGAAATCCACAAATCTCTTTCGTTACAAGTATGCACAAGGGTTAAAAACTTAAGCCAATGCAATGTTTGGGACACGCAAGAAAATAGAAACCACATTCATCAAAGAACATTATACTACCTCACGAGAAATTACTCCAAAAATCCGATAAAACTGTCATATTCCAGACAAGCATGACAACATGCACGTACAAATAATGCAACATAATCGACTATAAATATAGGCATATACATATAAGCATAGGTAGATTACACACCAAACAACCTGTATCACCATTGACAACGACTCACACGCCTCTACACAGTCATCACAAAGCCAACCTGCCCAAAGCTGCACTAGAAGAGACGCCATATGCACAGTTAGTCACACACACGCACGCACAAAGGCACAAAAGCCACAAAGGCAAACCGAGGAAATGGAAGCATCTGCTACGCCGAGAAGAAGACGGAGACAGGACGATATGCATCCTCACAGTGAGCCAGCCAACCACCGCCACCATAAAACGTTACATTATTGTCCGTGGCTTTATTCGATTCGCGCAGGCGTTTGTAGGGCCGGAAAACTTGTATAGTAGATCATCATATATGGTGATAGCTGCAGAAGAAAACGAATTATATATGGGCCATGGACTGGAGCTGTGTGGAGGATAAAATGGTTAATAGGTAATTGAGTCCGTGATGGTTGGTGTTCATCATTGGCCTCCGGTGTACACACATGAGCCATAGCCTGCAGAAAAATCATAGAGGAGTTTTTCAGATTAGCACAGTTAATTTTGATTGACCAACAGCATATTATGTGGAAAAGAGACTGTTTACATTGCTGCAAAAATTGATTTTTAGCTAAACAGATGGAATTTATCCACTAATCCAAACTTATAGTAAACAATCATAACGAGCAGCTCTATACCAACAGCAAGAAAGCAGGTAAAGGCACGCAGTAGATAACTTCGGAGTTCAGAGAGCTGTTGCTGAAAGATGAGCAAAGTTAACTTGTGCACTACTACCACTTTCCTACAGAATCCATTCATTCCCTGACATTAACAATGGAAAACACTAGTCCTGCAAATTGCATATGTTTACCTACTAAATGCAAGCTTTTGCAGCAAAAAAGCGAGACATTTCAGTAAGAAAAGGCCTGCCTCAGCAGTGCAGGAAGCCACATTGCAAGTGCCCCAGCAATTCAGCACATGAGCAATGTCGATCGAATGAATGAATAAATGAATGAATGTGAGCAATTTGGAAAAAAAATCTTGAAATATTGACAAATTTATGCAAAACTTGGAAAAAAAAAAGAGCTTGAATGTGTGCACGTACTGGGGTTGTCAGAGGTGAGCGTGGCGGAGGAGCGGAAGTCGCAGTTCCAGGGGTGGCGGCCGGCGGCCTGGTAGAGCTGGTTCATGGCGTAGGCGGCGTGGGCGCGCACCGTGTTGGGCTCGAAGCACGCGCCACCGGCCTGGATGGCGCCGCAGTCCACGCCCACCTGCGCGCACGCGTAGTCCAGGTCGGCCTGCAGGTCCGCCTCCGTCGCGCCGGCGCTCGCCACGCACCACCCGCCGCCGCCGCCCCTCGGCTGCTGCTGCGATGCCCCGCCGTTGCTCGGGCTCGCCGCGCCGCCGGACGACGACGTCAGGCCGGCGTCGTACGCCATGGTGAGGTCGGTGTGGTACAGCCCGAACGAGCGCTCCGACGTCGGGCCGGGCTTGAGGTCCTCGTCGTAGAGCGCGAACAGGTACGTGTCCACGGGCTTGCCCGGCATCAGCGGCGTGCCGGCGCCGGACCGCAGGTGGGAGACGAGGTTGGAGACGTAGGCCCTGGCGTTGTCCGCCGTGGCGCCGGCCTCCCCGGCGTCGCCCCTGGTCGGCCACCCGGTCTCCGCCACCACGATCTCCACGTCGCCGTACCCGGCGCGCCCCAGCGCCGACTTGACGGCGTCCACCTGCGCGTCGAACATGTTGGTGTACTTGATCTTGGACCCGGCGTCGACGCGGCCGGCATTGGGCTGGAAGAGGCAGAAGGCCAGCGTCTCCGGCCGCGGGTCGGACTGGTAGGCGAAGTAGGGGTAGGGGTTGATCATGAATGGCGCGGTGGTCTTGCTCAGGAAGCCCAGGATCTGGGTCAGCTGCGGCGAGATGTCCGGGTGGAAGGCGCCGGTGGACGGCGGGTCGGACTGCGCGAGCACGGCCATGGTGTTCACGGTGGAGAACTTGATCCTGGCGGCCCCGTCGCCGGCCGCGGCGGCGGCGGCGCGGAGGTTCTGCATGGCGGGGAGGAGCGCGGCGGCGAGGGAGGCGTCCCCGGACTCGAGGACCTCGTTCCCGACGGCCACGACGGAGATGGTCGACGCCGGCACGAACGGGAGCACGTTGGCGGCGAGCCACCGGGACGCGGCGGCGGGGTCGGCGGCGAGCGAGGGGATGTCGCCGTTGGCCACGCCAACCACGAGCGAGATGCCCGTGCCGGCGAGCGCGCGCATGATCCCCGGATCAACGCCGTACAGCCTGACCTTGGAGATGGTCGTCGACTTGAGCAGCTTCGCCGTCTCCTCCGGCGCCGGCAGGTTGTCCGCCACCTCGCCGTAGTTCACCCCGATGTACGATTGCGCTCCTGCACCCAATCCAACCAATCAAAAACCAAAAAGCCATGGAAAGAAAAAATTCCCCGAGCTTTACAGCTTCTTGATCCGGCAATTTCCTCGGGACACGAGACCGATCAAACCACCCAAAAGCTACTTACTCGACGCGGCGACGAAGCAGCAGAGCGAGACGGCCAGAGCCAAAAGGAGCTTTCTCGACTCGGCCTCCATGGATTCGAGCTCGCGCCGCGCCCAGAGCAGAAAGGAGAAGTGTGAAAGCAGCAGCAGCAGCAGCAGACGAACAAAGAAGATATGGACGCGGCGGCCAAGTGTGGCGTGAAGAGTGAAGACGGCGATGACGACGACCCAAGGAACGGAAGCCGACCAAATCATCCAAGAATCATATGCCTACGCGGATGGAGCCTACCCCCTACGCGACGCGGCTGCTGCTACCCGGTGGCGCCCGCGCGGCTGCGTTGCGTTTGCGTGCGCCCGCCCGCCGGGAAAGCCGCGGATTCGTGGCGGGGGTAAGGTATTATTTGGTGTGCAAAACAAATGGAGTAGTATAGGAGTACAAGTACTCGTGGACGTACGTGTGCTGAGCTGTGGCCACGTGCGGCGGCCGGGGGAGTGTGTGTGTGTGTGTGGGCGCGCGCCGCGGTGGAGGCGGGGATGGCCGTTGGATCGGTGGGGAGGCCGGTGGGCGTTGGACGGCCCGGATGGGGTAGAGATGGAGATAGTAGCCGTTGTTAAGCAAGCGCGGGCCACCGTGCCGGCGATGGTGGCGGTGCGATGGTTGGGTAGCTGCAGGCCTGCGGTTCTGCACGCCCGTGGACTGTGAGTGTGTGATCGGGGTGGCCCCGTTTGGGTATTACGGATCACATTTTCTCCAACCTTTTTACTGCTTTGTTTGAGGGGATGTTTAGATCTACAGTTTTCACGTGTCACATCGGATATTATATAGGATGTTCAGGCACTAAAAAAACTAATTACATAATTTGTCAGTAAATCGCGAGACGAGTTTATAAAGCCTAATTAATCTATCATCAGCAATGTTTACTGTAGCACTACATTGTCAAATCATGGAACAATTAGGGTGAAAGGGTGAAAATTAGTCGCAATCTATGTAATTAGTTATTTTTAGCCTATATTTAATACTTCATGCAGATGTTAAACGTTTAATGTGAAAGGGTGAAAAATTTTAGGGAGGAATCTAAAGAGGGGCTTACTGCTTTGTTAGAGTGGGCATATGTTTAGATTCCCATTTTTTTTCTTCAAACTTTCAACTCTTCCATCACATCAAACTTTTCTACACACACAGACTTCCGACTTTTCTGCCGCATCGTTGGTGTGTTTAGTTCCACACTAAAATTGAAAGTTTGAAGAAAAAAATTGAAAGTTTATGTGTGTAGTAAAGTTTTGATGTGATAAAAAAGTTGGAAGTTTGAAAAAAAGTTGTGAACTAAATAAGAGCAAACTTTTAATTTTTGCGTGAAACTAAACAGAGCCTAGATCTTGAGGTGATTTTTGGATGCCGCGTCATGGGTGAAACGCAGGATAGATTGATGATGATGCGGGAGATGCCAAGGCTGCGATGCTGGATTTTTCACATTTTGATCCTTTTAAAAAACTTATTTCGCAAATAGACCCCTGAAAAAACTTATCCCAGAAATGGTCCTTTTTGGGGCGCCAGAGTGGCTGGCGCCGTCATCCAACGGGACGGCGCCAGCCTCTCTGGCGCCGTCCTCCTGCCACCGTGGCGCACACGAACCGACGTGGCAGGAGGAGGGCGCCAGCCATGCTGGCGCCGCCCCAGGGAGGAGGGCGCCAGCATGGCTGGCGCCGCCGCCTCCATTCCTGTTTCTCTGTATGGAGTTGCAACGGTGTTATTTTTATTTTATTTTTTCGGATGTTTTTTCACACTCAGGATCACGATACAACCAACCACAAAAAAAAAATTTAAACACGAACTACCACTTAGCTAAGTCTGAAAATATCTAGCATACCACTTAGTCTACTTTGCACATTCACTAAAATTAGACCATAACTCCTTTAGTAAAACCCTTTGATCAACATGTTAAACATAATGCACTCTACCACTATATAAATTACTTAATCTAATTCAAAATATAACCACATGAAATGACATATATAAGTTAAACAGTACATAGAGATGTAATTTTTTTATTTTTATTTCATTTTTTTGATATTTTTTCACACTTAAGAGAACATAGGAACCAACCGTATAAAAAATAAACTCAAACGGACAAAATATGTGACATGTAGAATTTTCCAAAACTCTACCGAAACGGAAAAAAATATGCCATCTATTAAAATAGGCGTAACTTTCTCATACGGACTCGGAATCAGGCAAATAATATATGAACGGACATCTACAGAAAAAGTTACATCCGATTCTCCCCAGCTTTGCCAGGTTCGGCGATATTAAAAACTCCAAATTCCGCATACAAGATTGTGTTTTCGAGGAGAGAAGTTTTTCGGTAGAGCTTTGGAAAATTCCACATGCCACATATTTCGTCCGTTTGTTTATTTTTTACGTGGTTGGTTCCTGTGAGTTCCTAAGTGTGAAAAAAATATCAAAAAAATAAAATAAAAATAAAAAAGTTGCACATCTCTCTCCTCTACACTAGTTCGGAGAGAGGAGAGGAGAGGAAAAATTCTACATGTTATATATTACGTCCATTTGAGTTCAATTTTTCTATGGTTGGTTCTTGTGTGTCCCTAAGCGTGAAAAAAATATCAAACAAATAAAACAAAAATAAAAAATTTCGGGGGGGGGGGGGGGCGCCAGCCACTCTGGCGCACTCCCCCTAGCCACCTCAGCATCGCCCCGCCACGTCGGCGGTGGGACGGCACCAGAGAGGCTGGCGCCGTCCTGTTGGACGACGGCGCCAGCCACTCTGGCGCCCCAAAAAGTACCATTTTTAGGATAAGTTTTTCTAGGGGTCTATTTACGAAATAAGTTTTTTAAAAGGACCAAAATGTGAAAAATCCAGGGCTGCGATGATGGTCGCTTCTGTTCTGGCAGCAATAACTTGGCTGCTAGTGCTACACTGTTACTACTACCCTCGGCTCGAAAGTGTCGCCTCCCTAAGTTCATTCTTGATACCGGTAGCATAAACGACTGTTTGTCCCCTTGCTTTTTACCATCTCCGTTTTGTAATCTATAACGTCGTCAATTTTTTACATTATTTATCATTAGTCTTATTTAAAAAAAATTAAGTAAATATGTTTTCTTTTATCGTGGTCTGAGTTATCACTAAATAAACTTTAAGCATTACTTATATTTTTAAGATTTCCACAAAATCATTGAATGAAAACAAAGATCAAAGATTATAACAAAAGTCAATAACACAATGTATTAAAAAACAGTGAGAGTACTACTCAAGGGCTCCTTTTGCATGAAACAAAGATATATGGATAGAAAAAAAACAAAGGATTAAAATGTTGAATCTTTTAAGAAATAAAACCACAAAAAATAATCAAAACATGTGTTTGGATGGCTCATAAGAAAAAAAACAAAATTTTTTAGGTTATATATCAGTTAGATTGAGTGAGCAAAGAGAGTTGCATTGGAATTCTCTAAGGAAATAAAACCATGATATTAGAGCTCATGTTCAAATTCATATTAAAATGAGGCGCAGGACGGGAATGCATTCAAAGGAAATCTGCAACTCAAAATCCTACAAACCAAACAACCTCAATAGAAAAACCTAGGATAAATCCTTCATTTTGACGCCCCAAATAGCTTATGAAATGTTATGAATATAAAGTGGAAATCAGGCTGAACAACCTCTTTTTAGAGTTTTCAATACTGAACAACCTCTTTTTAGAGTTTTCAATACTGTTGAGGTATGGTAATGAAACCGCTCGTTATTTTGACTAAGTTTGAAAAAAATAAACAAAAGTTGAACTTTGTTGGGGTTTGTTAGTAACTAACTAGGAAGCAAGCCCGCGCATATGCGCTGGCATCTTATTTAATGTTGCTTGAAAAATATGAGTCATTTTTTTCTTAAAATATTTGTATTCCATTATCAACCTTTTTCCCAATAAATCATTTGTGACTATTTTGAATGTTGGTTATGATTTTCTTCTAATTACCCTCACAACATATAAATTCTAAACTAAAATTACTTAAAACCGTGAAATCTTGAATTATAGGAAAATATTGTGCCACAATAATAGAGTTGACTCCTATGAACTAATATTTTTACTATATGTGTTTTTATTGGAATACTTAGCAAATCTTCGTTTTGGACATCTATACTTTAAGAAATCCACATAGTTTTTTGAGAAGAGTTGTTGAAATTTAACCAAAAAATTTGAAATATAATATTTTGTATGATTTTCTTTATAAAAATCACATATTCCAATTACATTGTTCCTGCAGAAGTGTTTTTTTATTTCTGCAATTTATATCGGCCTTTGGATTCAACAAAATTTATTTTAAGTTTGGCCCAATTTTTATTCAAATTCCAGTTTTCCTTTCCATTTCGTATGGAATATTGGAGATTTATGTTATATCAATCATCCTTGAAATGCTTTTGATCTCTAAAATTTTGGAAGAAAACAAAATTGTGTTGAATGTACAACTCAGTATAGGCTAAAGACGTCCTAACCCTACCACCAAAATTGAGCCAAAAATATTATATGGATTGTGTTTTACTTCCTCTGTTCTCTGTTTTGCACATCAACACAGTCTCCAATATACATGTTCCATCATTAATTTTTTAGCTATATATTTCAAAAAAAATAAAAATATAACTGTATAAAAGCATTTTTCATAAAAAAAATTATCAATATTATTTTTCCACATAAGCATAATATTTTTTTTATTAATTAAGATTTTGATATTTGACTGCACGCTTTCTAGGATGACACATATATGAGAACGGAGGTAGTAACATTCTGTTAATACTATTTTTTCCATATCAAACCCTATTTTTTATTTGCTAATGATTTAATATTCCGAGGTTTAGCTGCATCTGTTTGAGAACTGAGGTAGTAATAAATTAAAACCAAACCGGAATCTCCTATCACATATTCATATTTCTGAAGTGGCGTATGGTATATACCACAAATTTAAGTGATCGCTAATGGCACCACATAGCTGTTTCACTACCATAATCCCTTCTTGAAACACACGTGGTTCCTACGACCCATCATGATGCCGAATGTCCATAATTGTATTTTAAATTTGTTGGCTATGAAAATTAGTCTCCTGATAAGGAACACGCTATGATGTAAAAAAATGAGATCATTCTAAGATTTTTTCCCCTCTAATTATTAGAGACTTCACGTATTGTATTAGATGCTATGATCATTTTACGATTGCTTATTTATAAAAGCATGATGATCCATGCGTATAGGTTATAGTTTCTCCCACACATTTAGAAGTAAAATAATTATGTTCGTAAAAAACTTATTAGATGTCTAACCGTAAGTGACAAAAATAAGGTTTGGCATTTGATTTCAATGAGATTTTTTAGATTTCCTTTTAAGTCGGTTGAGGCCTCAAGATGATAGGTGGGTCCAACATGTAATAACTTTTTTAGCATTGAAAATAGTCAATATGAATGAATCATAAATTATTAATTTGCTTAAAATATACAATGGTTTAAACCGATCATATATTGGGTATATAATTTATAATCATTTAAACTTCGCTTATTTGTTTATAAAACCCATGAAGAACAATTTGTGTGTGAGACATCAATATGGAACATGCAGAAATTCTTTTACCATAAATGAAAGTGCAGTAAATACCTTTTAACTGCAATAGAAAAAAAAAGCAGGGAAGAAAAGGAGCATGCGTGCGTACATGCGGGAGCCCATGGAAAGGATTTCGGATTTTTTTTTTGTTAGATCAATCCATCTATTAGAAACTTTGTTACCAAATACTCCCTCCATCTATTTTTGATAGTAATATTTCTAAATCTGAAAAATTTATTTTTGATAGGCATATTTCAATTCAACAACCTATCATCTTAATGACTTTCTCGGATTTAATGCATGGCTCTTCATTCTTCCACACAAGATTGGCTACATAGGTATTGAGAAATATAAATATTAATGAATCGCTTGTTTATGAGGAATGACTAGTAGCATGTTTAAATAGATGATAAGTAGAATTACTTATCCTTGTTCTATGTGCCAAGATGAAATATGACAATCAAAAGTAGATGGAGGGAGTATCTTTTAATTACCGCAGGAAAAAAAAAGCTGGAGAATAAAAGCGGCGTCGTATGTCGAATGTGTATGTGCGGGGTCTCGGAGGGGATTTCGGCATTTCTTTTGTTTTGGGAATTTTTTTAGATCTAATGGTAGAGATCTATCTGTTTTGTCCACAGATATATGCACTGCAGATGTGGGTCCTCGCCTACTTTTGTTGCGTCACGTGGCAGCTTAGGAGCAATTATAGGAATCTCACGTGGCGGCTTGAGAGCGTTTGTAGGAAGCTTATTAGACTTTTAGTATATAATAGATAGATAGATAGATCGTTCACCCTACTTATTCTTGATATCAACTAGTAGTGGTAACCAACTATATTCTGTATTGAAAACCCACGCTCTCATGTGCTGTTTGACTTCCATTTATGAACGTGGCTACATCGTGTGTGGTAGCGCGTTAGTCCAAACGCGCGACTCCACCTCTTTCTATAAATAGAACTGTACTCCTTACGTGCGTGTCAATACGAAAACATCACACGTAGCCTCCTGTGAGTCTTTCAAAAAGGACACCACGCATGCATTTTAACCTTTTTAATAACTTATATCTTTTAAATCACATATTGTTTTTTATCTATTTACATTATTATACTCCACTTAAAATATGTGACAAAACAAGATCCATATTAAATATATTCAAACATTTTATCAATTTAAAAGTATATTATTTCATGTTAGGAAGTAACTTCCATCTTATACATAATTAATTCTCATTAGTTACTCTATCAATGTTATTTACAATCTATCAAAGGTTTTATCTTATTTTCTCATACTACATAAAAAACAAAAGTGAAAGTGAAAAAGCAATCAGTGCTTAAAACAGATGCATAGAAAGTTACTTCCGAACCATGCAAAAGTTACTTCCAATCAACATTGAAGTTACTTTTAAAAATTGTTAAACTTACTTGTGTTGATCTGTGCTGATTAAATTTAATTTCTAGATAGAGTCATATTTTTATCCCTATAACAAATTTACTTCTAATGTTGTGACAAAGTTATTTTATTTTTGTTTTAAGTTACTTTTATAATATATGTAAATTACTTTTAGACTTTATTGAATTTACTTTTATATGTCTAAGAAGTATTTAGGGAAATCTAAAAGTAATATAGATATATTATAAAAGTAATTTGTAATTTTTCATGAAAATTTAATCATGTGAGATCTTGTTATAAATATTTAATTGTTACGAATACGATGGTGTAATCGGATCGTAGATCGGATAAGTAGTTTAAGAGAAAATTTTATTTGAAGTATAGGTGGTTCTTATTTACTTGATGGTCTGATAGTATATTTTTAGTAGAGTAATGGCTCAGTAGGCCTCGCTGATTAGTTAACGTGGAGCGGCGCCGGATGGACGCCACGTCGCCACATGTGCGGGATGGACGGATGCCTCAGCGTCGCACGATAGCGCTATCGCGAGAGGCCTCTCTAATTAGATTTTACGTCCATTTATAATAAGTTGAAAGCGGACAAGATCTATATATACTCGCTCTTTGCATGTGTAAATCATAGCATGTCGGATTCGCCCTAGCTAGTGGAACAGTGTACATGTACAGCGTCATGCAAAAGAGATGATATGTAGGGGCACTTTAGCATCGATCTACTACGTGCTACTACTCCTACTACAACTTTGAATCGGGTTCTTGGGCGTCTCTCTCCAGGAAAAACCACAGCTTAAAAAACGAGCAACGAAGGAATGAAGAAGCATATGCATCCGGCCTCCTGTTAATTAACAAGTTAATCAAAAAGGGGCGAAGAGAGTCTAAAGAAATGATGTGTTTAATTAATTAAGAACTCATATGTTTGATTAATCTCACTAGGCGAATTGCTTTCCATAAAGGCCATACGGAACAACGTCCCCTGTATTGGATGAAAGACTTTCGCATTTTCGCAAGGCAATGTTAATCTCATATCGAGTCTTCCTTATTACGACGTCGACGGGATTAAAAGAAACAACTGTCCCATTTGGTAGGATTCCAAACTAAAACTTCTAACTACGAACTCTAACTCCAGTGAGAGCTAGCTGCTGTTGGAGTTAGAAACTCGTTAAAAGTGTTTGACTAACTTTCAGCTCTAGATCCGAAAGAAAATGAAAAAAAAAAGAAACCAAGCCACCGTTGGCCCCAGCCGCGCGTCATCTCCGCGGCGCCGCGCGCTGCTGGCCACGCGTGCCGCCCGTCATCACCCGTTGCCATCCATCTTTGTCCCGGCCGTGCCGGTCGTCGTTGTCCCAGCCGCCCGCCACCCGTTATCGTCCGTCATCGCCCGTCGCCGCCCGTCGTCGTCCCACCGCGGCCACCCGCCGTCGTCCCGTCCCGCCACGCGCCGCACATCGTCATCCTGGCCGCGGCCGCCCGTCATCGTCATCGTCATCGTCCCACCGCCGCCACCGTAAATCGGGATTGGGAGGAAGATGGGGGAGGAGAGAGAACGGGAGGAAAGGAAGATGGGGGTAGTTGAGTGGCATTTTCATATAAATACACTAAAAATTTAGAGAGTAGTGGGTCTTTTGAGGTGGAGTGCAGCTGTGGAGTAGCGAAAACCCAGCTCCACTCCCGTAGTTCTTTTTCTAGGAGTAGCTCCGTCAACTCCACTTTAAAAAATGGAGAATCTAGACCGTTTGGCACAGCTCCGGCTCTAGATAAGTTGGAGTTGAGAGCTAGAGCTGTATCAAACGGGGAACATATATATGAAGTCAAACTGTCAAAGGCTAAATTAATGTTCTTTCTCGAAATGGAGAATCTAGATAAGTTTGTGTTGATTTGCGGAATAAACGAACTTCCCGCAAAATTATTGAGTTGCCAGAAAAGAGCCAAAACCATCCTACCTGGCGGAATTCTGCCCAGGGTTTAACTTACCGTCGGTAACTGCGCGGTTACCGCCGCGCAGTTACCGGGCTTACCGCGGGGGTACGGTAATATAAATACCGCGGTAACCTCCTTAAATTCAAATAAATTTAAAAAATAATTTAAATTTTTGAAAAATTTTGCACGGTTTTATACGGTTTTTCGCGGTTACCGTGGTTACCGCGCGGTAACCGTGCTTACCGCCGGGGCGCGGTAACCCCGGCCCCGGCGATTTGGGAAACCCTGATTCTGCCATTAAGGTGGCCACGTAGTTTCGTTTATTTGGTACCGCTTGTAACAACAAAAAATACGAGGATTTTATCCATGTATGTGTTCTTATCGATGAAGAAGCAAATACTGCGATATAAAATAAGATAAAGAAATTACAAAATCAATTTTAAATTTAAATTTTAGCTTATACTACCTCCGTCCCATTATAAGTGCAGCCATGGTTTTCCGCGTCCAACTTTAACTGTCCGTCTTATTTGAAAAATTTATAAATAAATTTAAAAACTAGTCACACATAAAATACTATTTTAGAACAATAAAAATACTAATCATAAAAAAAATTCAAATAAGACGAACGGTCAAACGTTTAACGTAAACAACGCAAAACTACACTTATTTTGGGATGGATGGAGTAATATACTGCGACTAATATGCTTATAAGGGTACAACGTTAAAAAAAGTTTTTGGAAATTGATTGCGGTACAAGCACTGCATTATACTACTCCCTTCATCCCAAAATAAGCACAGCCATAAGTTTCCGTTGTCCGTCTTATTTAAAATTATTTTATGATTAGTATTTTTTATTGTTATTAGATTATAAAATATGAATAGTACTTTACGTGTGACTTATGTTTTCTTTAGGTTTTTCAAAGAAAAAATTAAATAATACGAATGATTAAAGTTGGACACGAAAACTCATGGGCTCATGGCTGCATTTGTTTTTGAATGGAGAGAGTAATAAGTAAGGGCACATTTCGATCTGTTGTTTTATCTTTCTTTTCTTTTTTCTTTTTTTTTTTGCAATCTCCCTCGTGGTCGTCTGCGGACGGCCTGAACGACTTTTCCCCCGTCTACCCTCCGACCCATCGCGCGGCGTGGCAGGCAGATTCCAAATTCCAACCCCAAATCGACCCAATCTCCGGCGCCCCGATCACCGGGAGATCCGGGAAAGCACCCAGAACAACCGGAGTTGCCGCCGGCGTAAAGAGGAGGAGGAGGCGGCGGCGGCGTCGGCGGCCGTGGCGAAGTCGTCGGCGTCGGCGGCGGCCGCGGCGGCTGGGGTATCTGCGATGATAACCCGGTCGAAGCTGGTTGAGCAGCTGCGCGACTACCAGATCCGATCCCAACACAAGTAAAAAATCCCCCCTCGCCTCACTCTCCATTCTCTGCAAACTCAACCGTAATTAGGACTCCCAGTTTTATTCTGTGGCAATTGGCATAATCAGATCTCGGGCTCCCCCGGTAGGCTTTGTCTCTAAGCTAGGGTTTGGTTCGAAGTCGCACTGGGCTAAGTTAGTGTTCTTGATTGGTAGTAATGCGATTTGCTCCCTAGTTGTAACCTGGTGGACGATATGGCTGCTTGTTTTTTTATGCGAGCAAGCATTGCTGTTTTATAAATTTGGATTCAATAACATTAGTAGTACAGAAGGAAGTTTGCAGCAGTTGCTAAATCATCAAGTCTACTCTAGTGGATCTTCCTTAAGACATTGAGGTGCTCTTTCCTCTGGATTTGGTTTGTGGTTGTGGGAGTGAAAATAATTTGTTAGTGAAGTTCTAGTTCTTTACCATCCTTGTTCAAGGTACCAGGGGTATTGATAATTCTAACTTGCGAAGTTGTGAGGCGCCATTGTTTGGCATCTCAGTTACCAAATTTTGGTACCTTTCGAAGGACCACGTGCTAATGTGTTTTCGCTGAGCGTGTTTCCAAGTTTCTTTACTTGGTTCTGATGAGTGGTGGTCAGTGTTCCGCAGTGATAAGGTTCTGAGAATGTGCCGTGTGCTCTGCTAAATTTGTTTGCTGTTTCTTGAATACGAACCCCAAAATTTGCTAGCAGACCACTTTATCTTGTTATAAATGGATTCAAGCCCCAAAATTTGCTAGCAGACCACCTTATCTTGTTATAAATGGTTTCAAGTCAGAAGCTAATAGTTCTCTCGATGTATCATGAAATCGTGCAAAACAAAATATTATCTTGTATTCATCCAAAATGATTTCCTCCATGTGAGTCGCTCCTCGATCAAACGCAACTGCACTACCACCTCAATGAACTGAAAATGGCTCTGCTTCTCTGTTCTGCAGGCGTGACATAATTGGAGCAGTCTCATGGGGCTTGCTGTGTTGCTTTCTGATAATATCATCGTACATGACGTTGTACTTCAGGCACTTCTGGCTGTCCGCTGTTATTATCTCACTCGGTATTCTTCTTCCTGCTGGCCTTTACATTTTGAGGCAGAGAAAGCTTGCTAAGAAAAGAGAGAGAAGATTATTGCTGCCCCTCTCCATGTAAGAGTGTTGGTTGGTTCCCTGATTTTCTGGTTAATTCTAGCCATGTAGAATCCACATTCTTGGCTTGCTACACACTCTTCATTCATGTTACTCTGCCTCAATATACATCTCATTCTTTAGTCTCTACTGAAGTGCTAGAAGATATATCATCATTTTTTTCTGAGCTCAATGTTGTGCGAGTATATAATCTCCAATGCTTGGTGGGTATAGTACCATCCGTCTCTGCTACAGTCTTTTTTTTCTTCTTCTTGGGGTTTTATATGCTTGCAGGGTGAGACGTGTTTGCCTTGGGCATCACACTTTTGTAACTGATACTGATTGTTTTGATACTGAATTTGTAAGCCATATCCACCCTAGTTACTTGTACTCCAATCTGTTTCTGGACTAGAATGTGTGCATGGAATGATCAGTCCCTCTTTTTCATCCAGCTGATATTGTTTTGACAATTTTGCTGAACGCCATGCTTTCTTCTTATTCTTGAAATACAAGTGTAGCTGCAGTTCTTGAACATATTATTGCTGCGTGATGCTAATCCAGGCATCTACTGGCCTTCTTAAGAACGGCTACCTTTTGCCAGTACAGAGACTTATTCATGAAAACCTAAGAAATTCAGATTGTCAGAAGAGGCAGTTTATTTTGGACGTGCCTACATTGCTATCATGCCATCATGGACGTGCCGATCATGGAAACCTACAAAATGGTTTTACTGTTAGTGCTGTGAATGAATGTAGGCACGTCCATGATCGGAACATTGCAAGTCCCATTGAGTATTCAGCAGTAGTCTGGTTAAATCGTTTTATTTATTAAATAAAATCATTTTTCGTTGTCAGAAAATCAGAAATCTACGCTACTTAAAATATTAGTAGTGGTGGTGTTTATTTTGCCACACCAACCCTACCACTGATGTTATGTTTGGGCCTCACAATCTATACTATTACATCACCCTCTAATGAGTACTCTTCCATTTCACTGTTGGCTCTTCATAAATTTTGCAAGAGATAATCCATGAAATACCATTGACAAGCGTCTAAGTACTAGAAATGCTATCGACAAGTGTGAGTTCCAAGAAATGCCATCGTACAAACGATTTTGTCCTAAAAATGCCATCGCCGTTAGGGTTCCGTTCATTTCGTGCCGTTAAGTTCTATAGGATGAACAGTGTATTTAACGGCACGGAATAGATGGAACCCTAACGGCGATGGTATTTTTGGGACAAAATCATTTGTACGATGACATTTCTTAGAACTCACACTTGCCGATGGCATTTCTGGGACTTAGACGCTTGTCAATGGCATTTCATGGATTAATTATAGCAATACTACTTCTTTACCACTTAAAATGTTAGTAGTGGTGGTGTCCGTTCTGCCACACCACCTCTACCATTGATGTTTGGGCCTAAAAATCTATACTATTACACTATCCTCCAACGAGTGTTCTCCCGTTTCACCACTGGCAATCTGCAATCTTCGAAACCACCTACTTATTTAATAACAGGAATCATAAGAGTACTACTAGCACTAAATATATGTTTAATTGAATTAATAAGCTAGAAACTCAATTTGTTTTTCGTTGCAACACACAGGCTCTTGGTTAGTATCTAGAAATGTAGGGAGGCTAGTATCTAGAAATGTAGGGAAGAAACTAAGTTTACAGTGGGCTGTGATGAAAGTGCTTTTAGGCCATTCACAGTACAAGATATTACTACGAGTAACCTCATAGTGCTATTAGGATAAATACACGGGTTCTCAAATCATTTTTCCCCACAGTGCAAAGTAGCTCTAGACGTGTTTCAATTTTGCATATCAGGCCTTGCTATTTCCTATTTTAGCTCATATTTTGTAATTTGCAGGCAATCCAATATTTTACACCAAACACCCTAAAAATTAGAAAAAAAACATTCACCCACCCATCCTCCTAGTCATCCCTGTCACGCTCTCCCCCACCGCTCGTCGCGCAACTCTTCCTCCAGCGTTGGCGCCAGTCTCCCTCTACCTTCCGTAGGGCGCCAGTCTCCCTCTACCTTCCGCCGGCACCACACCTATCCAACTCCTTGATGGGGCGCTGTTGTCTACCCCCTCCCCTCCCACCTCGTGCAAATTTGGCACGTGGTTTGCCGGATCGGGCCTCGGACAGTAGTGGTGTTAGCTCAATGATGGCGGCAAGGGCAGCTCGACGATGGCGGCAGCAACATCTCGAAGTTGACGGCGGTGGCCACTCCGTGTCACTGAGCTAACCGGATTTGGCCTCCAGAGGAGGCGACGACAACTCGACGACGATGGCAGCGGGATCTCCCTTCACTCGCTTCGTCTACTTTGTTAGATTTGGTTGAAGCTTTGACGACATCGGCAAAGGAAGTTCAAGAAGGGACCTTCCTATTGAAAAAATCTGATAATTTTTGACATGGTTCGCATGTCCAAGTGAAGGCTCGCGCTCCTCACTAGGGCACAACCCATGCCAACGTGGCTTAGAATCTCCAAGGTGGCGAGATAAGGCCAAACGCCACCTCACCGCACTGTGACCGCTTCATATTCCCTTATATGCTTGGACTTTTTTTAATTATTAAATCACCAGATTGAATCATTATTTACTTTAAATTATGATAGTAAACAAAATTAAACCGATGGAAGGAAATGAGTCGACTAGCCAGGAAAAAACATGTCTACATCATAATTCTTATCTCCATTTCTACTGATTGCATTGTCACCATGGCAAATACACACCCTCTTTAATTTGTTCCAAGATATAGCAAACTAGTACAAGATGTGATACATGCTAATACTACGAATCATGATAAGAGCTTTATATTGCTAACTTGCTATATTTTAGAATGGATGGAGTAACCATTTCTTGTCTCTCATCGCATCAGTGCCAAATCCTTATGGCATTGTGTAAAACAATGAATTGGTCTTGCGAAATCATCGTTTCCAGAACATATTATAAGCAAAACAAGATATACATTACCTAGAAAAAGAAATAATAATTTATATATATAAACAAAACATGTCGCTCCTAAAAATTACCCATTAGGAAGGGGGAAAACAAGATTTATCGTCGCAAATCAGATTATACTCCTAAAATGCTGATAGTATTAAAAGAAATAAACGGAACTAAATTAAGATAGCTTACAAGAAACATAAAGAAGAAACGGAACTAGATTAAGACAGCTTGAACGGTTATTTGATAGTAGCAAACAATTTTTATATTAAAAAAAGAGAACGGCTTGATCAGAACTCCAAAGTGAGCAGGCATTTTTGTTTCGCAGCTCAATCATCTTGCAAACACAAATGCTATCTTCGCCAGATCACCATGGATCCATCATCCATTTGACATATTATCCTGTATATATATTGCAGCAGAGCGATCAATGTGTCTTCCAGAATAATTTGTTCTTCTCAAGCACCATCACATCCAGCACGGTGTATATGGAAGAGACACACCGGTGAAACTTTTGTTGGATAAAATTTCCTCGCAGCTGCTGACCAGAGGTAACTTGCCCAAGATCTCCATCTTTGAGGTCTTCAAATGGTAGGCTAGTCCAGTCTGCATCGCTTCACATAAGAAAACAATCTCCTTGTACGGATGGAATCCGAGAACATCGATGTTCCCATGGTATCCATGATAGAACATTGGGATCGGCGGTTGTGGAAAATTACCAAATCCGAGGGCATTATTATCAACGTTTCCATGGTATCCCTGGAAGATCGTTGCTGGGAGCCTGTACTCAGGAACATTACCGCGATGATCGCTGTCATCGTCGCCGTCGGAGCTCCATTCGAAATCGATCTCTTCGTCATGTTCCTTGCGAAATGTAGTACTGTCCTTCTTATCAAGATCTTGCAAGAGCATCCATCGGCGGCGAGTTTGCCGGGGAAACACGGAATCGAGGTTGTTTTCGTGCTTCGGCACCCACTCCATTTCGTCGCACGATTCGTTGAGAACCCAAACCTGAAGCGAGCGTGGCTTTGTGATCAATGCAAGGTACACGCCCTTCTCTGACCTCCCTAGACAGAAATGCGAGTGGCCATTCGACCTAACCGTTGGCATTTTAATCACTTGGTACTTATCATCTGACAAGGAAAACCTGCAGAATCAAATAATCGAAAGAAAATATGATATCAACAAATCACCCATAACTTGAGTAATAACATTTTTGTTTCACTAATATAATAGAGGATGTAATATACTGCTCTCTCCATCCCAAAATATAACAACTTTTAGCCATCACGATTTATCTCAAAATTTAACAATTTCTCCACCAACATTCTCTTTCTAACCAATCACAACCCTTCACCATTCACTTCTACTTACTTTATTAATAATCGTGTCTAACTCTAAAACTTCTTATATTCTGGGATGAAGAGAGTACCTTATTTTTCAAAATGTATAAGGCTGTTAACTTTTTATACCGCGTTTGACCATTTGACTTATTCAAAAATTTAGTATAAATATCTAAAAGTATAAGTTAAGATTACTTTTTCTTAATGAAAAAGCAGGTCATAACAAAATAAACAATACTCCCTCCATATACTTTTGATAGACATATTTCATCTTGACACACAGACCAAGAATAAGTAATTATATTTATCATCCATTTAAACATGTTACTAGTAATTCCTTGTAAATAAGCGATTCATTAATATTTACATTTCTCAATGCCCATGTAGCCAATCATGTGTGGAAGAATGGGGAGTCACGCATTAAATTTGAGAAAATCATTAAGATGATAGGTTGTTGGATTGAAATATGCCTATCAAAAATAAACTTTTCATATTTGGAAATATGACCATCAAAAGTAGATGGAGAGAGTATTTATCTATATATATCTTTTAATAAAACGAATGATGAAGCATTATGCGAAAAGTCAATAAATTTTAAAACGAAGGGAGATCATGTAATAAATGGTTTACCTCATGATAAAATATGTTTTGTAATGCACGTAGAGTGCTCCTTGCCAGTAGACGGCTTTGCACTTGTGACCTGAAAAATCCATCCGCATGTCGGCGATCGTCGTCCTCGCGGCTTCCCCTTGCCGATGGAAGGTCCTCTCCTCCCACCGCCCGGTGCTCGACGAGTACACGTCTAGGGTTTGCAGCGATGGCGGCCACTCGGAGAACTCGTCCAGGAGGACGCGTTCCTCGCCCGACGACGACGACGTGCCAGAGCCCGGCGGCGGGAGGCAGCAGCTGCACGCGCTGCATCTGCGGCGGAAGCAGGTGACGGAGAGGACCTCGTAGCGGGAGGAGGCGGCGGGGTCGTAGGCGAGGAAGTCGGCGGGGAAGGTGCTGGCGCCCATCCGCGGCGGGCGGCGCGGGGGCAGCGGGGGCGAGCACCACCGCGTGGCCGGGTTGACGACGACGATGGCCGGGCGGTGGGTGTCGGGGTCGGGGTCGCCGCCGAGGAGGAGGAGGCCGTTGCAGTGGTCGTGGATCTCGTGGCGGCCGGGTGGTGGTACGGGTATATCGCCGCCGGCGGTGACGGCGGGCAGGAAGTGGAGGCTGCCGGAGATGGAGGAGGGGCGGCGGGCGAAGAACCTCGGGACGTGGCGGGAGGCGGAGGCGGTGGACTGGTGGCCGATGTAGATCCCGGCGAGCGAGCGCGGGAGGAGGCCCCCGCACAGCTGGCGGCGGCGGGCGTCGATGGCGGCGCGCCACGCCTTGGAGACGCCGCGGGACGCCGCGAGCGAGCGCGGGTCGAGGCGGACGAATACCTCCGCGAGCACGTCTTCGGGGAGCGCCGCCACCGCCGCCGCCGCCATCGCCTCCGCACTCGTCGATCGATCTCGATCGGTGGAGTCGATTTTGATGGGACGCCGTATTTATTGCCGAAGGGTTCGACGGGATCGAGGCGTGGCGATCTTGATCGACTCATCGGTGCCGTCGGTTTAGGAAAAGGGTAGTAGGGTGCTTAGGAAAAGGGGAAAAAAAGGCTCGGTGGGGAGGAATTTTTATTATTTTTTAACTTTATATAATTGTTAATTTGAAAAATAGACCATCTTCAAATTTATTTCTAAATCTGAACTTCTTTATCACGTCATCCCGCCTAAAGTAATTGGCGTGGCAAGACAACGCTGACCCGCCATATCGCGAAATAACGTTGCCATGACAAAGTGGCGTGGTAAAATAATACTGGTATGATAATAGTTAGTGTGGCGTGACAACGTTATTTTGCTATGTCAATTTTTCTAGCATGGCTAAAAGGTTTAGATTTAAAAAATAAGTCTCGGTATGATTTATTTTTAAAATTAAAAATTAAAAAGAAATTCTTTTTTAAAAAAATCGATGGGCGCTGTCTTCGGATGCTTGGGTGCAGTCCAATAATCTGAAGAAAAATAATCTTGTATTTTTAGATTCTCATTAGTTGTTTCTTGGAATTTTAAGTTTAATTTCCAAACAAGACATTAATCTAGTAGGAAAGGATTATTGATTACCCAATAATAAAATTTCTTTGGCATTGCACATGAAGTGCTCCTCACCAGTACACACCATATTGGAATATTGGATGATCGAACCAAAATTATCCGGCCTTAGGCTGGAGATTGTTTCCTGCAGCCTCTCCTTCTCGGAGGAAAGATCTCCCACTTCCAAGTTCTTGATGAGAAACGTGTAGGACGAGCTGCGACGGTGGCCATACAGAATCATCCGGATCGATCTCCGTTACGTTTGGCTGTCTGTTTCATGAACCGATTGTTTGGTTCTCTCTTGGGCATATGAACCGGGGATTAATATGAACACCTCGAAGTGGTGGGACACGGCATGATCGAATAGGGATACCAGCGGACTAACCCGCAAACCCGTTTATAGATAAAATTAGTGAGCAACCCGCGGGTTGACTCGCAGGTTACCTACTAATGGGTTTATCGGTTGACTCACTTGCATTTTTACGACGCGGCAAGCCGAGCCATAACATGAAAATCCACGGGTTATTTTTTATTTAACATATAAGTAGGTCCGTGGATCGGTCCGTGTTCATCCCTAGGGTCAAACACGGCGTACTTGTGTTCGATGTCTTCTTTCGCGGCCGCTGCCCACCGGCGTGGTCGGTGTGTAGTAAGAGGAGGCCGTCGCAATGGTCTTGGACGGACCAGTACCACTACCAGACGTCTTGTGTTGGGAGGGCAAGTAGTCGAGCTTGCCGTTGATCAGTTGTAGCGCCCGTTCCGTCGTGGCGCCTAGCGGGAAAACTATCTCTTAAAAACCCTAATTGCGAAATATGTTTCCTTGCTTGTTGTCTAGTGTCCGTGCCATCTCAGATCTCAAATCCCTCCGCAAAAGTCTATCTTGCCTCCCTCGGGTTCGATGGGCCAAATTCCTCTCGGCCTATCTCTCCCTCCCTCCCCATCTCTCTCTCTTTCTCCCTCTCCCCCGCTCTGCCCGTGCGCTGCACACGCGTGCGCGTGAGCCACGCCGAGCTGAGCGCCCTCCGCCTTCGCCGCCGCTTCCCGCCGATGCCGCCCAAATCGCCGCGCCGCCCGCGCGCGCGCGCCGTGGTGGCCGACCGGCCAGTCGCCGCCGCCGTCAGCGCCTGCTGCGCCTGCCCCGCGTCTGCCGCCCGTGTCGCCGCTCCGTTCCAAACCGCCCCGCCGTCATCGCCGTCGTCATCGACTCGGCCCCGCCTCTCCCCGCGCGTGCCTCCAAGGGACGGAGGCAGAGCTTGCCCCCCCCTCTACCGCATCTCCCTCTCCCTCCTCCTTTTCCCCAAAGTGGCAAGGAGGCAAGCCCCCTTTCTCTCCCCCCTTTTTCCCTTTTCCCTCCCGCCGGCGTCATCCCCCCTGTCGCCGCTTTGGCCGCGACCGCCGAGCGCTAGCCCTCTCCCTTGACCGCCCAAGGTCGGTTTCCAAATCGACATTGCCGCCCTTTAAACCCAGGCGCCCTCCCTTCCTCTTTCCCCTCCCAATCTTCCCCGTTTCTCGCCCGCGCCATTGCCGTCCCTCTCGCCGACCGCCGCCGTCACGTGTGCCGAAGGAGTCGGTGCGCGTTAGGACGCGGAAGGGGACTCCGGACGCACCCTCTCCTTCCTCTTCCCCGGCCTGAGGCCGGAGAGATCACTCCCGCGCCGTCGGCCCCTCGTCACTGCGCCCCGTCCCGCATGGTAGTGCATCCCTCCGTTCTCCCTCCTCGCTCCATCTCTTCTCCTTAGCTTTGAGTAGCCGCTCGAGTAGTACCCTAGTAGCTAGCTGGCGCCGCCCCGACTGCTGCCGTCGCTCGCCGTGTGCTCGCCGCCGTCGCCGCCCGAGCTCGGAAGCGTCTCTCGTCGCCGGCCTCCCTCGATGCGTTTCCTCCTAATCCGGCGCAAGGGGTGGGTTCCCGTAGCCGCGTAGATGCTCTCGCCACCGGGAATCGGCCCCTCGTGACCTCATCGCCATTTCCCCCTTCTCCCGTCGCCGGTTGCCGCCATCGCAATCCGCCGCCGTCGAGCATCCCCCGGCGAATCCGAGCCGTTGGCTCGTCTCCCCTCGTCCTTTGCAATATCCCGGTGTGCTCGCCTTCACCTATATCGCCATGGTTCGCTCCGCCGCTCGCCGCTGTCGTCCGCCGTCCGTTCCGGCCGGCGTCGTCGTCTACCTCCCGCCGGCCCACGTGGCAGCCACGTAGGCGCCACGTCGGCGCCACCTCGGCCGCGACCGGGTCAAGCAGACCCCGGTCCGCCGCTTCCCTCCGCCCCCTCGCGCGCGCGGTCCACCGCGAGCCGTGAGGCTGCGCGTGGGCCCGCCACACCGCGTCCTCCGCGAACCGCGCGCATGCGCCGCGCCTCCCTCCCCAAACCTTAGCACGCCCCGCGTGCACCTCGCTCACGGTGAGCCGAGTCGCCGACAAGCGGGACCCACCCGGGACCACGCGGGATAGACCCGGCCCACCGGCTCACTCTCTCTCCCCTCCCAGCCCGCGCGCACGCCTTGGGCCGCCTTCTTGGGCCGGCCGGCCCATTAAGCTCGGCCGAGCCGCCCCTTTCGCTCGGGCCGCGCCCTAGCCGCCTGAGGGAAGTCTAATTTCCCTCCCTCCTTCTTTTCTTTTCTTTTTCTTTTTCAAAAAGGATTTAAATAAATCCTTTTTCCTTTAGACCAAAAATCCAATAATCTTAGAAATTCAATATCTTCCCAACCGTAAGTCTGTTTGACTCCGTTCAACTTCCAAAATTCCTCAAATCTTGAGATCTATCTAATGGCACGCTTAGAGGTCAATAATAGGGCTTTATTTTCGCCGTTTGTGAGTTGTTCCGTTTCGCGTGTAGTTTCGGAGCCCGAAGACCCACAGTGCGAAGATTTCGAGGATCAAGCTCAAGATCTCGAGCGAGGCAAGCCACCCTTGAACATCCTGAGCCTAAATTTGAACTTAATTATGTTGCTTGAAAAATATTATGCATTGATAGGATCGCCCTTAATCTGTTTGCCCCGTCTGCAAGGCAGACCGATGGGCCTACCTAGCTTATTGCATCTGATCCTTCCTTTGTTAATTGTTATACCATGTTCCCTTGTAACCACCTAGTTGCGCCTCGGTAATCGTGCACTCTGCACGAGTATTGACGGTCGCCTCAAACTTAAAATCTGAGAAACATCTTGGGTAAAACTTGGGTTTTACAGAAGACTTAGAAAACCCGACACCTGGGTCGGTGCTTGCGAACTAAATGAATTTCCAAAATCGCGGACCGGGGAACGTACCAGGTGTACGGTTTTCCGCTCTTGCACTTAAGGACCGTTTCCTTGGAATTTCATCCGAACATAAGACAAGTGCGACCACATGGGTGGAATGGGACACCCCTGGCTGAGTAACTAGCTAAACGGGGGAGCCATGATGCCAAGAGACATGTGGATTCAATGGGGTGGTGTCGGGGAGAACCCCCGGGTTTCCTGGCACAGTATGGTCTGGGACCTAACCTGTTGTTGGTCTGGGACCCCTCTCGTTGGCATATGGTGAACCTGTGTCGGCTTTCGAAATGCCTTGTCATGAAAGCCTTAAGGTCTCTAGTCGTGGCCGTTCTGCACGGGCTGGATGATCCGGGTTAGTAATGCCGTGTGGGTAAAGTGTACCCCCTCTGCAGAGGTTATTAAACTGTTCGAACAGCCGTGCCCACGGTCATGGGCGGATGTGAGGTGATTCCTAGCGTAGTTTTGTTTGACTACTGCTTTGTGAAATTTGCTGATGTGGTTTGGGTTTGATGTTTTGAAAATCTGCGGCTGATGAGATCAGCCAGGCCCGGGTGGTTTGAGAAGCACTCACTTAGTTGTTTCAGAAAAGAGTTTAAATAAAATCAATTGCAAAAACAACAGCCTTTCCTTGAAGCCTGCATTAAACACTTATTTCCCATGGCTTGCTGAGTACTCCCGTACTCACCCTTGCTCTATATAAATAATCCCCCCCAGTTGCTGAGGAAGATGAAGCGGATCCCGCTGACGAGGAGTTCTTCCAGGAGCAAGCCGGCTACGATGAGTTTTAGGGTTTCGGCCTAGTTCCCAAGTCGCGCCTGTGATGTGTGGTCCAAGTCTTGGCTTTCGCTTCCCTTTTATAATGCAGTTGTGAGCTCGGGATCTGTCCGTAACCCAACATGACTATACTCCTACTCTATAATAAAAAGACCTCTGTTGCTGTGATATTCTGTCTTCCTGTGATACCAGCACTGTTTCCTGGGACTGGTATCGATTAACAGGTTAATTTGGAGCGTCACGGGCTAGTCCCGCTCGGGGCTAGTTCGAGGCGTGACATCAGTGGAGGAGGGCGGGAGAAGATCTCCGGTTGTCTGTGGCAGTAGAAGTTGATGAAGATGCCAGCGAGCGAGAGAGTGGGAGGAGGTCCGCGCGAAGCAGGTGGCGTACAGGCCAAGCCTTGCGGACGCGGCGGGATACCGCGAGCCAGCACGTCGTCGGGGAGCGCTGCCGTCATGTCGTCGTCCGATTCCGACGGCTCTATCACCTCCTTCGGGTTGCTTTGCTTTGTTTGCTGCTCGCTCGCGCTCGCCGCCGCGGAGATCGAAGTGAAAATTCGGGTAAATCACCTCCTTCTAGCAATCAAGGAGGGTTGTCTGTTGGCCTTCCGATGGACTCTCCTTCCTTTTTCCTTGGAGATAGACTGCCTGGAGGCGTTGAACATGAATTCAGGCTAAGGAGAGAAATCTATCGGAACTAGCCTTCCTAGTCAGGGAGGTGCGTGACCTCCTGTCCGGAAACAGGGAATTTCTGCTCAGGAAGACTAACCGAGACCAAAATCTTGCTGCTCATGTCTTAGCAAATAAAGCTAGGTGCGAAGTCATATCAAAAGTTTGGGTTGGTTCTGAGTGTGATGCTTTATCACAAATTGTAATGAATGATTATATTCCTGAGTAATTGATTCCCTTTCCCCGCAAAAAAGAAAGGGTAAATCCCCGCTTGAATTTGAATCGGAGGCGGAGATGGAGCCTGACCCGCAACAGGCCAAGATCCGTCAGGGCCCATCTATCAAAGCCAGGTGGCGGCCCAGCCTCCTCCAAGCACTTTGCGGTGTTGGGCTGGGCTGGACTGGGCGTGGATTGGGCTTCTAGCCCAACACCCGGGTGGGGTGGACGTGGACCCCACGTGTCAGGCCACTACCTCTCTCCTCCGTCTTCCTTCCCCTCGCGTCTCCCTTCTCCTCCTCCCGCATCCCCCCTCTCGCCGCCGCGTTCTCGTCGTCGCCGGTGGCCGCCGCCTCGCTGCTCCCCCGCCCCCCTCCCCCGCCCGCCCGCGGCGCTGGACCTGTTCCGACTACTAGAGAGGGCCATCGCGTCCTCCTCGATCCTCCACTGCCCCTAGTTTTGGCCGCTCGGTCCTCCGGTCCTCCCAGAGTCGTCTCCGGTGGTCCCCCGAGTTCAAGTGGCAGCGGCGGCGGCGGCGGCGGCCGTATAGACTTCGTCCACGAGCACTTCGCAAGGTGATTGGATCGAACTCGCGCAGGTTTTTTGGTTTGCTTCTCTTTGAGAAATTGCTGCTCCACATCGTCGGCTACATCGTTGGGTTACTTGGGTACATCCGGGAACCCACGAAGTCGATCTGTGCCGCCACCGACCGGAGCAGCCTCGATCTGTGCCGTCCGCCGCCGCCGTGACTTGGCCAGGCTCGATCTGCGCTGCTGCCGCCACCGTTGGTTGTTGGGGATTGATCTGCTCCGAACAAGCTATTAGTACTGATAGCTTAACATAAGCTTATGATTTACTTTCGTGGTGATTTAAATCGAATAGTTGATGGGCTGGCCAGTGTCCTATGAGGATTTGAGGATGACCTTATGTCTTTCATGACTAGCCATGATATATGATTATCATATATATAATTTCATGACTAGATTTGAGGTCCTTATCTTGAAAGGCAAATTTAATCATGTGAAGTTCTTGCTGTTTGCAGGTGGGAGAGTTCTCTTCGTACTTGTAAACATGTTGGAGAAGATCGGATTGCCGCCAAAGCCATCTATGCGAGGGGCTAGCTGGGTGGTGGACGCAACCCACTGCCAGGGTTGCTCTGTTCAATTCTCCTTGTTCACTAGGAAGGTATTCGATTATCTTCTTTTTTTCGCCTTGCAATGAAGATTTGAAAGCGAAACACATCATACTCCTCTACCGTAACCTTGTAGACGAGGATATGGTTCTGCTCAAAATTTGCTGATGGTGCTGCACTTGTTCCAATGTCATATCATGACCTCAATTGCACTTCATGGATATATTATCCTTTTCTGGATCACTCTTTTTCCTTAATTCCCTTTACCTGAAAAAATACTAGGTACAATGGCACAAAACTATGTTAACTATAACCATATGTTGGTTGTTACTAGCTTTGATGTTTTCTGTCTTGCCACATAAATTTTGTTGTCCTAGTTGGATGAAGACCTTATATTCTGTAATCCTATTGGCCGTACTGGTTAACTTTTGTGGACCTGGACTTTGCCATCATATATCTGAATGTATTCTTATGTTATTCTTAATCTTCCATTGGTACACACATCCAGTTTCTTGTACTCTTATGTTTGCAGCAGGATCTGCTTAATTTTTTTTCTTTTAATATTTAGCATCATTGCCAAAGATGTGGAGGTTTGTTCTGCAGCAACTGTACCCAGCAGAGGATGGTTTTACGTGGACAGGGTGATTCACCTGTTCGAATTTGTGATCCTTGCAAAAAGCTTGAAGAAGCAGCACGTTACGAGCTGAGATATGGACACAAAAACAGAGCTTCAAAAGGTGAATATCTTTTGCCTTTTTTTTTGTAAGTTATATCTTCTGATGAAAGAAATTATGATTTGGTTGATGAATTGACACTTCTAATCTGCTTGCTATATAAATGAATGCGTTTTTAAACAAATAATCAATTTAAAGTATTTGATTTCTGGTTAAATAAAATGTGATTGTCAGCATGGAAATGGGACACAACTGCCTTTGAATTTGCATTGTTTCCATTTCAGAGCACAGTCAAGAGCTTGTGTGCAAACTTTACTTTAGCTGCAGGAATGAACTTTGCAACATCCCTTTTCCCCCTTTGTGAATTTTGGCCATGCTTTATGTCAAGATCAGAAAAGACAATAGACATTATGTATAATGGTGCTTCCTGCTTCTTACTGATAAAGAATTAAGCACTTTTACAAGATGTGTTCAATCAAATGGGATCTATCTTATCCTTAGCTACAACTTAAAATTTCAAGTGCTGGAGTTTCTAACTAGTTTTGGTCCTTGTTCTGAAAAGTGTTATTTACTGTAGATTATAGTTTATACATATTTGAATTTTTAACATATCCATGCAGCGATTTGTTTATTATTTCGAATATTTCAAATGTAAAATTTCAATGCCAAGATCCGTAGAAGCAAACATCTATAGCAGAAAAAAAAAACTCCCAGTTGTGCATATGTAATACTAATCTATGACTAATAATGCATAATTGAATGCCAAAGTACTTGCTGGTCTCACCAAGCTGTGAACACAATAGAATGGCTTATTTATTTGTTCATGGGAGTTTTTTATATTCTTTGTACATTGTTTTGCAGCTAATGCTAAAGCAGCTTCTAACCCAGAGGATGATGTTCTTAGTGAAATTCTTGGAGGGGATGGAATGCAGACCAAGTTTTCTCGCAGGGAGTCCCTGGATCCTGAGCTTCCTGGCGCCTCTAGTTCTAGTTCCAGTTCCAGAAGAACTTCTGGTGCTTTCAGTATGGATGGTAATGGAGGTGAGAGCCTCTCTATTGAAGCACAAAATTATGAACTCAACAATACTGGATCAATTTTTACCCCAGAGGAATTGCGCCAGCAAGCAGTAGAAGAGAAAAAAAAGTACAAAACTCTGAAGTCTGAAGGTAAACCTGAGGAAGCACTTCGGGCTTTCAAGCATGGTAAAGAGCTTGAGAGGCAAGCCGCCGCACTGGGGTTAGAATTGAGAAAGAACAGGAGAATGGCTACAAAAGCTCCCAGTGTAAGTGCTGTGGTTAGTACCAAGAATCTGGAGGGTTCTGATGAGGCTGAATCGAAAAAGTCTTTGCCTGGGAAAAGGGTTAGGAAAGAAAAGAATGATCTTGCCTCTGAACTTAAAGATTTAGGCTGGTCAGATGCAGATCTTCATGATGAAACAAGAACAACTGCTATGAGTGTGGAAGGAGAGTTGTCACAGATTCTTAGAGAGGTAACACCAAAATCATCAGAGGGCAACAAAACCAGTAGTATAGACAAGTCTCAGGTTAATGCTCTGAAAAGACAGGCCCTGTTGCTGAAAAGAGAAGGTAAACTTGCTGAAGCAAAGGAAGAGCTGAAGAAGGCTAAAATTTTGGAAAGACAACTAGAAGAGCAGGAGATTCTGGGTGAAGCAGACGAGTCTGATGATGATTTGGCTGCACTTATTCGTAACATGGACGATGGCAATCAGGATGACATTCTTTTGGACAATCCAAGATTCCCTGATTTTAATTTTGAAAAACTACTGGGCACCTCTGATGATCTTCTCATCGATGGCAACTTTGATATTACAGATGATGACATGAATGACCCAGATATGACTGCTGCACTAAAATCATTTGGCTGGAGTGAAGAGGACGAGATACAAATGGAAGGTCATGGTCCTGTTTCTTCTTTGAATCAAGAGGCATTAAAGGAGCAAGTGCTTGCTCTTAAAAGAGAGGCTATTGCACAGAAGAAGGCTGGTAATGTTGCAGAGGCCATGTCATTGCTTAGGAAGGCAAAGCTCCTCGAGAAGGATTTGGAAACTGAACAATCAGAATCAAAAGTTCCTTCCCCACAAGGACACAGGAGCACACGCACTGAAGATATCACAGTCGCAGAGATGAATACCCGGCCTGTGTCAGCACCAAAATCTAAGCTTGCAATTCAGAGAGAACTGCTGGCCTTGAAAAAGAAGGCACTAGCGTTGAGAAGGGAAGGAAAGGTGGATGAGGCTGAGGAAGAGTTAAAGAAAGGCAGTGTTCTTGAGAAGCAACTTGAAGACCTTGAAAATTCTTCTGCGAGACCTGTGGTCAAGGAAAATAGGAACTTTGGGTCAACTCCCCCATATAAGGTTGAACCTCCAACTCTGGATCTTGCTGATGAAGGGTATGAACCTGAGGTAACTGACAATGACATGCAGGATCCAGCATTGTTATCTGTGCTGAAAAATATGGGATGGGAAGATGAGGATGCTGACACTGCGAGCATAATTAATATGCCATCAAATAGTTCACGTATAGTTTCTCAAAAACCAACAAAGAGCAAGGGTCAGATTCAGAAGGAATTACTTGCTATAAAAAGGAAAGCTCTTGCATTCAGACGGGAAGGAAAGAACACAGAAGCTGAGGAGGAACTTGAGAAGGCAAAGGTCTTGGAGCAGCAACTGTCAGAGATGGAAGAGTCAGTTAACTTGACTGCTAGTCAACAAAGTGCAAGGTCTGCTGGACAAATTAGGGGAAATAAGTCTGGTGCTCTACTTGATCCTGCCTCCAGTCCTGATACTAGTGCACACCTGCCTAAACTAAGAAATGCAACGGAGGGAGTTATTTCGTTGCCAGTGCATGCTGCTGAACTTGCTGCATCTCTGGATGCTCAAGCTAGTTCCCAAAGCATACCACCGACCGAACTAATCATTCCTAAACCAGATCATGCATCAAAAGTTCATTCTGAAGGAACACGTTCAACCTTGTCCCGGCCATCCTTTACTGATCCGCTGGTAACAGCAGAAAGATTGCATTCACCTTCTGATGTACATGATCATAAAGAACCTCAGATTCCGCACGGACATGACACTCTCAAAGATGAAATCTTACATCATAAGAGAAAAGCAGTTGCTTTTAAGAGGGAAGGTAAAATGGCAGAAGCTAGAGAAGAATTGAAACAGGCAAAACTCTTAGAAAAACGTCTTGAAGTCTCTCAAGAGAACAGTGCAAATGGTAGGGATGAATCAATGAAACCCGTTGTGCAAGAGACCAACTTGATCCAACAATCTGCCAGTGCCAAGAGCTGTACCGATGACATTTCCTCTGCCCCTCCAGCACAAGAAATAAAGCCAGTTCAGCCTCCGAAAGCATTGTCTAGTCGAGACCGTCTCAAAATCCAACGTGAATCCCTTGCTCACAAACGCAATGCGCTCAAGTTGCGGAGAGAAGGAAAGACCGCAGAAGCAGATGCGGAATTCGAGTTGGCTAAGTCACTGGAGAGCCAACTGGAAGAATCAGAAAGCCAGGTTTCTGGAGGCAAGTCGTCTGACGCAAACGATGCAGCTGTGGAGGATCTTCTTGATCCGCAGATCATGTCTGCCTTAAAATCGATTGGTTGGAGTGATGCTGATCTGTCCGCGCAATCTTCTAACGCACAGCCTTCAAAGAAAGCTGAGGCAAAGCCAACTGTGGCAGCTACAACCAAGCCTCAGAGTGAGAAGACCCAGCTTGAGGAACATATTAAGGCTGAGAAACTGAAGGCTCTAAACTTGAAGCGTGAAGGGAAACAGACAGAGGCTCTGGAGGCCCTCCGATCAGCAAAGCGGCTGGAGAAGAAGTTGGCATCACTTGCCTAATAAGTTGTCCAAAAGCTCGTCTTCATAATCGTTTGATAACTTCTGAAGACTGATGTTTCAGTTAGAAAAAAGCACAATCGGCAGAGGAGGAGGGGGGGGGGGGGGTTGGGTTGGAAGCAGATAGGCTCAAGACTTGTGAGCCGTGAGGACGCTCTTCAAGGTCATTTTCTGTATATACAAATAAATGCTGATGACCAATGATTCTTTTCACGGATAGGAGTGCAGAGTGCAGTGATACGTGCATTCATTCATTGTAAGAAATATTGTATCTTCTGAACATTATTTAGTTCACCTGACAGTGGATTTCATTTGCATTCGGTATCTTGAATTCTTCATGTCCCATACTTCAACCTGCCGATTCTGTCTGAGATCAACGCATGCTCAGGAGGATAGTACTATAGTTTTGAGTAATTTGTCTGTAAGTTACTGTATTTGTTTGTACTATTAATGGAGCATCGCATTTCTGTGGCGACGTGACAGGATCACAGGATAATTAACAAAGCTGTCAGAGGTTCTATTTCGAGGCATTTTGCAATCTGATTATTTCTCGCTTGTTCATATTGTCCTTTTTCCAGTTAAAGGTCTACTTATTGTTGATTGTGATGATCGCGGGATGGCTCTTGGGCTCTTGGCGAGTAGTATTTTACTCGCTTTGGGTCGATAAGCTTTTTACAATGTTAAGCATTTTATTATGTAATAAAAAGTTCCTTCGCCATATGTGTCTCATTTCCATATTGATGTTAACTTAGGGGTTTACTGGTAATAAAAAAACGTTACCATCTTCGCCATATTCTATAGCACAATACATCAATATGGAAATGACACACATATGAACCTTCTTTTATATAAGAATTTTGCCGCAGATGGTTAGATATATAAACTCGTCCAAGTTGTCTCTCTTAGGCATTTAAATGGTGAACATTAGAAGTTTTTAGGTTACCAAAAACTGAAAAGTATAAGTAACCTCATTTGTCCTCCCTTTTATCTATGAAAGAAGAGAAGTTTACGTAGCTACAGAATGAGGAGAATAATAAGAGTGGTAAATGGAGGAAAAAGATGGTCGAAAGAAGCAGGGGAGGAGCTAGAATGAAATGTAGAGGGTGCCACTTGCTTAATTTACTCTGCTTCACATCGAGTTTAAGCTAACATGAGTGTCTAAGTTTGTATTGAGAATGTACACACATGATGAAAATAGGTAAGATACAGCTAAAAAGTTTTCTTCACCGGGTTCCTGGGTGCCCCTGAGATACTCTACCTTCGCCCCTGGAAAGAAGGTAAAAAGAAAATGTCGAAAATCACAAGATTTCAGTCACCTAAATACTGTACCCACTTGCTTTATTCTTCTTGATCCCTTGGCTCTATGTTTGCCTAGCTGCCTACTGCTCGTCTCACTCGCTGCCGGATGAATTCGTTTCTTGTGCAGAGATATCAGGAGATATACGGGGTTTATCGGATGGAATAAGTTGCCGGCCTAGTAGGCTGGTACTGGCCAGAAGAGTAGTTTTAGCTGTAGCTGGCTGAGCTCGTTAGGTTAATTCTAAAAGGAAGGAATCGAGGGAGAATAATTGCACATAAGATTTTATTTGGTTTGGAGGTCGGGGATGGGAGGAGGAATGATACCACATCACAACGGTGTAAAATAAATCCCATCCTATTTCTTCCTCTCGAGGACTAATCAAATAAGTTCTAAAGGAATTTAAAATTTGACGAGTATATAAAGTGATGATAAATTAACCACAAATATTTATGAAGAAATACTGCAAAAATAGAGCGAGAGTTGATCGCTAAATATGATTCTATTAGCTCCGTGCAATCAGGGATTCGACAAAGTTATAGACTAAAAGAAGGCTCAAACATTATAAATATATGTCAAGCGTTTCACGAACAGTAACAAATTTAATTTATCACGGCTTCCAAATCGAATTGAGCTTACAATCCAATTCTGGTTGGGGAAACTCTTCGATCCAGCAAGGTGTATATGGAAAAGATAATTCCACATCGAGGTGTTCATTAGGTATACCGTGCAAACTCACTGGGTGCAATTTACCCAACTCTTCGAATTTCGAACTGCTTAGATGATAAGCGTACCCTCTGTCCATTGATTCGATAAAGAGAATTTCCTTGTAGGGATGAAACCCAAGGATCAGAGCGTATTCATCGTACCTCCTTTTGACAGTATCTTCGGCTGCGTCGTTGACGATATCATCATCGTCGGAATTCCATTCAAAATTTTCTCTCGCTAGCGTCAGTGGCTTTCTTCCCTTGGGGAAAAGCCAAGTACTACACTCGTAGTTAATATCGTCCAGAATCCAATGCCCATCAAGCTTATGGCTTGTTGCCAAGCTGGGGCCGAGGTCAGTTTGATGCATCAAGACCCACTTCATGTCACCGCATGGTTCATCGAGAAGCCAAACTAGAAGCCTGTCTTTGCTGAGTGACGCAAAGTACACGCCCTGTTTTGATTTTCCTAGATAACGGCTCGAAAATTCCCTCGCTTCCGCATCCACCGGCCGATGAATAATTCGATACTTGTTGTCTAACAAGGATAATCTGTAAACCGAAATTCATTGGTACACGGTACAACAAAGAACACAAATATATAATTAGAGTAATTTTTTTCACAAAACTGCAATTATTCGGTCAAAACTATCACTTTGCTACAACTTTAATTAGTCGGGGATTTCATAAAAGTGCAACTTTATCTTATAGTATATGACATATGTGGCTAACCATTTGTGTATGACAGGTGTGCTCAAACTAGTCAGATAAATAATTAATGTTGTATAGCTTTCTAATAAAAAAATATACTACTATGTTAGTATTGTTTTAGTTCTCCGAAAAGCTTGGCTAAAGTTCAAAGTGATAGGTTTGATGAAACAGTTGTAGTTTTTTGAAATTTACTTATATAATTGCTACAGTATAATAGAGCAAAGGGATGAATCACCTCATAACGAAATTACTTTGGCAACGGACGTAAAGCGTTCCTCGCCAGTAGGCAGCGTAATGCGTGCCCCGCACCGATGCTACGTCGGCCATGGCTCCTGCGGCCTCTCCTTCTCGGACGAACGGCCTCTCCTCCCACTCCCTTGTTCTTGACGAGAAGACGTTCAGGACGAGCGGCGATGGCGGCCACGCAGAATTCTGAGGTGGTTGTTTCTTGGATCGATCCTTATCGAACGGCAAGAGATGGGGGATTATCAGCACCTCGAAGTGGGGCGACAAGGTGGGATCAAACACGAGGTGCTCTTCTGGGTAGGTTTTTACTTCTTGTTCTTCTTCTATGAGAGGAGGTGGTGGTGGGTATGGCGTTAGATCCATCCACGCCTTCGTGGCTGGGTTCACGACGCAGCCGCTCTCGAGGAGGAGGAGGCCGTTGCAGTGATCCAGCGCCATTTGCCACTCTCCTTCCGAGGGCAGGAAGTCGAGCTTGCCGGTGATCAGATGGCGATGGCATGTCGTCGTCGTGGTGGTGGTGGTGGTGGTGGGGCGGGAGAAGTACTCCGAGTAGTCGTGGCAGGAGAAGTTGAGGAAGAACCCGGCGAGCGAGAGCGGGAGGAGGTCCGCGCGTAGTAGGCCGCCGCCGTCGATGGCGTCGCGCCACGCCTTGCAGACGCAGCGGCACGCCGCGAGCCAGCGCGGCGCCAGGCGGCGGAGGACCTCCCCGAGCACGTCGCCGTGCAGCTGCAGCGCCGCCGCCGCCGCCGCCGCCGCCGTCGTGCCCTCCGTTCCCTTCGCCGCCCTTTTGCTTCCCGCTCTCTCGCTCGCCATCGCAGCGATCGCTCCGACGACGGCGATGGCAGCGGCGGCGGCGAAGCGTGAGATTCAGATCGCCGCGTATCGATCCATGTGCGTTTTAAACCCCAAGCACGTTTCGTGGGCCGGAGACATGTCGTATTGGGCCCATGGGCCTTAATGCGGCCCAGGCTCGTCCGAGCTTAGAAACCCTCGCCGTGTTGGTTTCCGCTTCTGCTTCTCCCCGCAAATCTCCGATGGCCGCCGCCGCCGCCGCGCCGCTCCGCAGGCTGCTCCTCCGCCTCGGCAAGCCGCCGCCGCTGCCCATTCCGCTGCTGCCCCATATCACGCCGCAAACCGCACAGGCCGCCGGGGACCCCGCCGCGCCTCCTTGCCCAGGCGCGATCCCGAGCCAAGCCCCGGCGAGGAATCTCCGTGACGTCATCTCCTCCTTCCACCCCGGGCTCCAGATTTACCCGTCCCTCGATCCGAGATTCGGGGAGGTGGAGGAGGGCGTGGACGGCGAGGGGGGTGGCGCGGAGGTGTGGGCGGACAGCGTGAAGAAGAAGCGGAAGCGCAAGATGAACAAGCACAAGCTCCGCAAGCTACGGAAGCGCCTCCGCCGCCAGACATAGAGCGGGCCGCCGCCGCCGCCGCCGCACGGTGAACACCCTCCTCCGCCTCCGCCTCCGCCTCCGCTTCGATTGCGAGTAGCTTCTCACCATTTCGTGTGTTACTGTGCTTGCTTGCTGCCATGACTCTAGCGGAAATGGGGGTGGATTGCTCCGTGTATTGAATTGTTAGACACTTTTCTGTAGCTCATTTTGATTCAGTCTTACTATTTCGTTATTATTATTAGATGAAAATGCTGTATCATTATGGTATTAAGTTATGTCTAGGTCTTTGGTCTAGATTTTCAGGCTCTAGTGCTTTGTTGATGTATGCTGTCACATTACTATGGCAGAAATGTAGATGAATAAGTTTGAAACATCGGGCGGGGTCTCATAATCTCATTTGGTTTTCGTTGTTCCTCAGTTCTAATTGAATAAGTGTTGCAATGGTGCATGCCCATAGTGTCATCTGTGTGGTGGGCTGGTGGTGCTAGAATTGTATTTTGCATACGGGGTAACATTAAGAATTGTTTAGCACAGACATCTTTCAAATTTTATCCTCTAATCTTCCATCCCTTGGCTTCAGTTAATAGTTTTCCCAGATGAAACATTGTGAACTTTAGAAAGAACATCAATTCACTATTGTGCTGCATCACTGGGCTAAATGTTTTCATTTTCATCAGCTAAAATTATGCATCTGTTTTCATATTGTGTTTTGAGGACTCCAAATTAGTAAAAGCTCCATTTCAAAATCCCTGGGCATAGTCTTTTTTTTTTCTTCAAGGATTTTACCATTTTTAACAAGATAGAGTTGCAATATGTAATTATTAGATGGTAGACTGCTGCAAGTATAAACCCTGTTATATCCATTTGTAATAGAAGCTCTTGCACAACATAAAGATACTTTTACCATGTTCTGTGCACTAATTCACAGTTCTGTTTATTTTAGTGGGCCCAAGGATTTTACTTGCAAGCAAGCACTCGACACCGCTCCCTCACTGGATACAAGCTGATTATTTCTAGCAGTTTTTATTTGATTATGGGAGGGGCTGGTTTAATACCAGCCTTCGATTGTTGGCACGGGGTATCCATCTAGGAACCCTGTCAAGACTAAATGAAAATGAGCACCAGGAAGCAGTGGTTTATGCATGAATTTCTGTCTAATAAAACTTTTAATGATTAACTCTGGTGGTAATTTGCCCTTCTCTTTTGTTCTTTTCCTATAATGATGCTACTATAACCCATATATACAGATCATGGTGTCTCTGAAAACATTCATCAATTGGTTGAGAGCTATTCAGTGTTCCTGCTCCAGCTATATGTGCAGTTACTGAATGTTAGTTTCAATTCTGTGAAACCGCACTTAAATTTCAACCATATATTCTTCTCACGGATGCATTGTGAATGTGTGTGGCATATAAATGGCATCTCTTGGCTAGTTTCTTTGAAATCGTGTATGTCACGTCCGATCTTCTATATGCTGCAACATTTAGTTCTGTTCAGTGTACATGTTGTGGTTTTCAGATATGGGATTAAAATTTCTTTCTAAAAGGTAAGTTAAACCCCATTCGGATAATTTGTTGAGCTACGTACCATCAGAATTTTGGTTTCTGACTGATGTCTGTTAGTGTAGGAAACTCTGTGAAAGCAACTCAACTGTATAACATACATGTGTCCATCCTCAGAACGCTATGCCTGTTTGGTACAGCTCAAACTCCTAAATTTAGCTCCAGGAGTTAAGGGCCTGTTTGGCACAGCTCCAGCTCCAACTCCACCCCTCCTGGAGCTGGAGCTCAGCCAAACAGTTTCAGCTCCACCAAAACTGGGAGTGGAGTTGGGTGGAGCTCTCTCACAAAATGTACTAGAGTTGTGGAGCTGGGTTTAGGCAGCTCCACAACTCCACTCCAGACTCAACTCCTGGAGTTATATTTAGGAGTTGGAGCTGTACCAAACAAGCCCCAAGTCTGGAGTGGAGTTGTGGAGCTGCCTAAACCCAGCTCCATAACTCTAGTACATTTTGTGAGAGAGCTCCACCTAACTCTACTCTCAGTTTTGGTGGGGCCTGACTGTTTGGTTTAGCTCCAGGAGGGGTGGAGCTGGAGCTGGAGCTGTGCCAAACAGGCCCATAGAAGTCTTTCAGAAATTAGATCAATATCTCATCTATTGTCTCCATGTTATGGTACTAGCAGTCAGGCCTGCAAATACAACCAATCGATTTTGGCTCGCAAAATTGTAGAGCCTTTATCAATAATTGAATATAGAATCTCTCATCTATGACACCAACACCCAAGCAGCTGCTACAATCAAGGTTACATTTACACAACTCAACCAACAAACTGTTCCATTTTACAAGCTCTTCTTCCTGTTTATTTCACTTAACAAGGTCCAACAAATCTCAAGGGTTATATTCCTGTGTGCTAACGCAACTATTGGTTGCTTAATAATGCCAAGGCAGAAACTTTGCTGTGTACCTCCAGACCTGCCTAAGGTAACCAGATACAAGTCACATGTCGTCCTCTTGTTCTGGGATGCCTTCTGTAGATATGGCAGAATGTGCAGGTTGGTAGGGCAGGGAGCATTAAGAAAACTTGGATTATAATTCTCAGAAGTACCGTATCGGTCCATCCAAGCTACCAGATGCAAACTACAAATATCAAATGGCGATGGAGTGAGACACAAGATCGAGTATATTAAGGTTACTTGGTTCTTGTGAGGCACACAGTTAAGACATTACTGCATTACCTGTTTTACAATAGGATTTGTTGATGTAGTAAATTCTTGTGTCATTCCTTCCCACACTACCTTCCCCTCATGGAGAAATAACAACCTGAAAGTTGAGTACAAGAGTCTCAGCTTAGCAATGGACAACAGAAAGCTGGAAGCCACCAGCAAAACAATGCCTGCTATTACCTGTCAACGGCTCGTTTTATTGTGCTATGCTGATGAGTGACAACCACATAAGATGCTATCTTTCCAGGCTTACCAAGAGCATCTTTCCCTGTTACATGTACGGAACGTATAAGGTCTTCAACAACGGTGGATGCAATAGGGTCAAGTCCAGCAGTAGGCTCATCGTACAAAATAACCTGTAATGGAAAAAATGTATAATATCAAGAAGACAGTCAATAGTAAGTTAAGCTGTTTGATCTCCTTTTCCTGTGAACTATTACAGCAATTTACTCGTAATGACTGAAGAGATTAGTCAGGGTATACCTCTGGCTCTATTGTTTCCTTTGTATCATCGTATATTATTGAACGAGCTAGAGCTACACGCTTTTTCATGCCACCAGACAATTCAGATGGCATTCGATCTTCAACGCCCTGCACAGACCGATGGTGATAATATATCTAAGTCTATGTTAAAATCACAAGTATGAGTAGAAAAATACCGATAATCCTTTCATCCTATGTAAGCTAATACAGAAATCTAGAATTCCTCAACAATCCAAGCTATAATTTTGCCTCTTAAATTATCTCCGACAAAAACTTTGCACAATCACATAAAAGCATTGCCTGCGATTGGCTTACCGCTAATCCAAAATTTGGGACTATTCTATGCTTAGTTTTAACTTCAACATGAAAAAAAAAAAACTTGACTTACTTTTAGGCCTACTGCGGCCAATGTTTCTGTCACTAGTGTAGCTATTCTCTCCTCAGGCAGGCTGGAATTTTCATATCTAAAGCCAAAGGACAGAGGAAACCGAGATTAGTAAATACAAGTAGATTGACTACTCTCAATAGACTTATGGAAGGTAATTGTTCTTACAAAAGGAATCCAACATTTTCACGAACCGTGAGAGAATCAAACAAAGCTGCACTTTGAAACACCTTCATAGGCAAAGACCATTTTAGAATTTTCGAGAACAGTTGGTCGATAAAATTATCATGGTATTTATTCGGCAGATTTGAAGTAATTAAAGAGTATACCAAGCCAATTCGGACACCAGATATGTCTTCATCACTAACTAGCCCATGTCTTTTTCTTCCGCAAATAATAACATCGCCCTTCTCATTATCACAGATTTAAAATAAAAATACAACAGCCATCAGCACATCAAACGGGAACCTCCTAAAAGCCTATTGTTTTAATAAAGATAATCAAGAAGATGCGATAACCTTGTCTGGAGCCAGTAGCCCAGCCATAACCTTCAAAACAGTTGACTTTCCTGTTCCCGAAGGACCAATTATTCCAACGGCTTCTCCGTGTCTAATCTACATAATAATAATTTGAACCATAACTGAACTGCAGGCTAAAAATAAATGAAACCAAAAGATTATAAAATAATCAACTAAGTAATGATTCCTAGTGACTGGATAATGGAGAGTATGATCAACGTAAGAGAACTAGTGGTTAATTTGTGGTGGTACGACTATATGAGCAAGGAAACAGAAATTCAGAATGACAACAATTCGATTTGTGCTTCCAATTTGCTTTGAATACTTGTAAAGTACATTAACTCTGGGATCAGCATTGAAGAAGATGCAGTTGAGTGGCTCCAATACTTGAAATGGGATATGTACTAGGCACCCAAGTAGTTGATTACAAATAATGCCCAAGATGTAGAAAACCAGAGAACCAATGAGAATTGGAAACTGGAAAGAATTGCTTGAAAAAGAACTTACCTTGAAGCTAATGCCATTCAATACCTTCTTGTTACCGAAGGATTTGTGCACATCCCTACATTCTATAAGAATATCATGATCATCGCCAATCTGCCCATTCATACCCCAGCTCCTTGACAAGCTTGGACTCTAAAGCATGACGGGAACAAAAATACAATTTATCACCCCCAAACTCCAAGGCACCGCAATTCAAGTAAGCTATATCAGGATCAAGGCATCGTTGCAAGAGCATACCTCACGCAGATTCTCTGCATTGCCCAAGCCAGGACTCCTGGTAGCAGATACAGCACCAGCGTACACATGGCCCTTTTTTAATGGCACTCCACATAACCTGCCTAAGCAAGAACATATGCAAAATATGAATACCATATCTCATTTGATAAAACCAATCACATTGGACGCAATACTGCAGATAAATATTCACAAAGATGAACATGGCACAGGATGAACCAGCATAGTACTACACAAGAACAGCACAACAGCCACATTCTTCCCTTTTCATATGAGCAATTTAACCAGCTGCCAAACTAACCGCGCTTCGCAATTTTTTCAGCCTAATCGGGGTCAGCTATCAAAAAACGCAAAGAAATTTTTAACTACAGTGCAAAATCGCTTTCTCCCTTTCTCCTCCTCTGAACTGTTGATGAAAGCAAAGAATCTACTCACGCAGCTCGAGCAATTCAACAACAAGCCGTGATCTGCCAACACAATTGTATTCCCTACAGAATCGCAACCCCAAGGTAACGGGAGAGATGCTCCAAAACAACTTAGACAAAACATCTAAGAAACAAAAAAAAAGAAGAAGAAGAGATTCAGGCCATGATTTTTCTTTTACCTAAACGGAAGGGTGCAGGGCGGGCAGGGGTCTCCCGAGGAGCGGAGGAGGCGGAGGCCGGCGGCGTGGGCATGCGGGTGGCGGAGAGCCGCCGGGATGGACGGCGACGCCATGGTCTGAATCGAGCTCTGCGGCGGCGGCGCCACGCGCGTGGGCGAGGAAGAAGAAAGGGAAACCCGATGGAATCCTCCTCCTCCTCTCTCTCCTCTCTTCCCCCACGTGGCAACCTGACATGTGGGCCCCACCGATCCGCGGCTCGCGCGGGGAGAGGATCTGGGCGTCGGATCCTGATCCCGGCGGTAATTACCCAATTGTCCCTCCCCCCGCGAATCTTCTCTTCTCTTCTCTTCTCTTCTCCGGTGGCGATCTGAGTGGCCGACCGGCGGCGAGATGGCCTCCGCCGCCGTGACGCTCCCGCGGGTGATGCTGGCGGCGGCCGCGGTGCGGGCGGCGATGCTGGCGCTCGGGGAGTGGCAGGACGCGCACCTCGAGGTGCGGTACACCGACGTCGACTACCTCGTCTTCTCCGACGCCGCGGCGTCCGTCGCCGCGGGCGGGTCCCCCTTCGCCCGCGCCACCTACCGATACTCCCCGCTCCTCGCCTACCTGCTCGTCCCCAACTCTCTCCTCCACCCCACGTGGGGGAAGCTCCTCTTCTCCGCAGCAGGTGATTCCGCTGTTCACACACGCCTGCTGTCTTTGTTACTAATAGCTCACTCTTGTAGTAGCATTGGTGAAGAACATTTAATATTTGTAGCTAAATTTGTATTTTAAGGGGGTAGATTTCTGTGACCTGCGGTTCAAGTAATGTTTAGAACTTGGGGATGACTTTCTGAAAGCCAGAAGTTATCTGAGTGATCTATCTGAATTTATTCTTGTTCATTTTCAGCCAGTGGCTTCATTGCATGTAAAACTCTGCAGAATTTGGCCTAGTGAGACGAATCACATGAAGAGCTTGTTCAATTTTATGTTTTTGTTTGAAATGATAAGACAGACATTTTAGGTGCTCAGTAAGACAATAACCTTCCCCTTTTTTTTATTTGTCACAAAGACAACACTAAGGTCAATTAGGGAGAGTTTAATAATCGACATGTAAGTTCCTGATTTCGTGATGTCGGGAGAACATGAACCTATTTACATTGTCCGTAATTACCTCGTTGGATTTTTGAGATGGCGGTGCATCATGTGTTTTGCAGATTTGCTTGTTGGGTTGTTCATTGACACCATTCTGAAACTACGTGGTGTCCCTGACAGCACTCGGATCTGGTCTGTTGTAGCTTGGTTGTTCAACCCCTTCACGTTCACAATTGGCACAAGAGGAAACTGTGAGCCCATAGTCTGCGCTGTCATACTTTGGATCCTGATATGTTTGATGAATGGTGTAAGCTCTAAACCTGTTGTTTCTATCTGTTCAGTTTTGTTCTATCTTGTATTGATGTAGATAATAATCATTTAAATGCTTTAATAATGGAATCTTTTAGTTAGTTTTTTGGTCTTCTCATACAAAGCATAGGAACATAAGACATCCTGTTTTATGTCTTAGCAGTCTAAACTATTGTCTAGTGGAGCTTGTTACAAAGTCAGAAAAGCTAAATTACTACTTTATTAAGCACTTGAACAAGAAGTTGTACATAATTTTCCTCTGCGTTGTAGTACTTGGATAATACTGAGCATTACTGATATTACTGTCAAATGTCTTACAGTTTGATTGTCTACTGTAGGTAGAGTATTGCAGGCATCATTCTGGTATGGTCTGATTGTGCACTTCAGAATATACCCAATCATATATGCAATTCCTTTCGTTATAGTTCTGGGCAAGAATTATGCTGGTCCTGCTGGAAGGCCTATTCTTACACAGTGGACTTCTAAGCAACATTTACAAAGCGATAAATCCAGTCCAAGTGTGGAAAGGGCAACATCATTGTTAACTAATTTATGGAATTTTCTGACAAGCCTTATAACAAGAAATACGATCCTGTTTGGATTACTTTCAGGATCTATGTTCTTTCTCTGGACTGGTGTTTTCTTCTACCTTTATGGATGGGAATTCTTAAATGAGGCACTACTTTACCATCTTTCTCGGACTGACCCGAGGCATAACTTCTCGATATATTTCTACCACATATATCTGCATCATCAGCAAGGGTTCTCAAGTATACAGAAGCTCGCTTCTTTTCTGCCACAGCTGATCGTGCAACTGGCACTCATTCTACGCTTCTCTAGGGATCTTCCGTTTTGTTTGTTTCTCCAAACAGTTGCATTTGTTGCGTTTAACAAGGTAAGATGTCTCACAGTCACGGGCATTTCTCGTTTTTAAAACCCTGGACTACTTGATATTGATTGTTAAGTTTACCATCAAACAGGTCATGACAGCACAATACTTTGTGTGGTTCTTTTGCCTGCTACCCCTCATCCTCCCTTGGACTACCATGAAGCTGAAGTGGAAGGGTCTGGCCTGTATATTGGTGTGGATGGGGTCCCAACTGCACTGGCTGATGTGGGCGTACATGCTTGAATTCAAGGGCCAAAACGTCTTCATACCGCTCTGGGCAGCAGGTCTCATGTTCCTGGCTGCAAACATCTTTGTTATGCTCATGGTGATCAACCACCACAAGTTCACTCCGCTCTTCTCATCATCAACGGTGAAGTCTGCAAGCAAGATTGCTGCCAAGAAGGAATAGCATATACCACCCTTCTTTTTTATTACTTTACCAGCTGATGTATTTCTGGAGACATGGATACTGATTTTTCTTTTTAATGTTCTACTAGTATCTTATGCGACTTGCATCCTTGCTCTTTTTTTTTTTAACCCTGAGACCCGGCTTGGTTGGTTTTGTACTATTAACTTCTTGTCTTAGGTTGTATGGTAAGTCTGGAAAATGCAGTTGCTTTGGAGAGGGAAAACTTTTTTTTTCTACTCCCTCCGTTTTAGGTTATAAGATATTTTGATTTTGGTCAAAGTTAAACTGCTTCAAGTTTATAGAAAAAATAGTAATATTTTTGATCCAAGATAAATTTATCATAAAAATATATTTAATTATTAATTTAATAAAACTAATTTGGTAATGTAAATATTACTATATTTGTCTATAAACTTAGGTCCTGTTTGATTTAGCTTAGGATTATTATAATCTGGATTATTAGGAGTAAACTAAAACAAACAAGTAGATTATTATAATCTATAAGCCAGATTAGTATAATCCAGTAATCTCCTCTAGAGGAGCTTTTTCTAGATTATTGAGTGGCTAAAGACCCACTACTCTTAGATGCCTCTAATAATCCAGAGAAACAAACAACTTGCAGCTTATTCTATGTCAGCTTATCATAATCTAGCTTAGAGTAATCTGATTTAATAATCTAGATTACAATAATCTTAAGCTGAAACAAACAGGGCCTTAGTCAGACTTAAAACAGTTTGACTTTGATCAAAGTCAAAACATCTTATAACTTGAAACGGAGGGAGTATTTTGGTTGGAGCTTTTTTTCTTCGGGAAACGGGGAGCTTTATTTATATTTGGTTGTGCATGGTTCCAGTAAAAAAAAAGATTAGCAGCATGGTGATATGTGCTAAAATCCATGTGGTTTGTGCATCATCGACCACAATACTTAGGTTTTTATGCCACCCTATGTGGTTATCAATGCCATGGGTGGCCACAGCGGGGCCGTTGCCTTGCCAAGACCAACAACAAGGTTGAGGGTTGCTTGGGAGATTTTCTTGCTGGCGCAAGTAGATCTATCCATCACTTTGTGCCGAAGGCCGCTGATTGCAAGATGTGGCAGTGGCGACGAGGCTACCTGGGTGTTGTGCTGCCAAGTGGCATCACCCTCATTGTCGGACGCGGCCTGTGGCTCATCACTCTCCATAGGACGGTGCTCCTCCCGCACCAATTGAAGACATATTGCCGTGGTTGTAGTGATGATGGTTGATTGTGCATAATAATTTTCTTCAACGCTAACGGCTAGGACAATAGCATTGCAACCAAAGTTGTCACCATCATGCCCGCCGCCGCCTCCAACTTGGTGCACCTCTCCATTGCCACCTTCTGCTTGGGACGCCTCACCTGCAACATGGCTACTAACTTTAGCATGTTTATCTTTAATTCCTTGATGATCTAGGAAAGAGGTGTCACCAGAGCCGAATTGTTGCTAGATGTGGCCGGCGATGACAATCCAATCTAAGTATCCATCCAGCAGTAGTCATTATAGCTGGCGCAACCATAGAAAGCTTTCTGAGCATACTCTATATGTTGGAATTAATGGATAGGCCTTAGCCCACTCGAAAATTAATTCTTTGGAAAATCACAAAAGCCCACCTCATGGGATGACATGCATATGGAGTTTAGTACTACCTTACTTATTCTAGGAGAGGGGGACCTCCTTAAAAGGGAGGATGCCCTCCTAGCCACTTGAAGCGTGTGTGGTGGAGAGAAGAGGGGGAACACAAGCGCGCGCTTGCTGGCCTGGCAGGGCAGGTCAGGCGGCGCGTGCACGACGTACGCGTCGAATGGTCCGCAAAATTGGCTCCTCATCCTTGTGCAGATGCAGCCTCCTTTTGCAGTTTTGTTTTGCTGTAGGAAATTCGGATTTGTGTCGAATGGTCTGCAAAATTGGCTCCTCATCCTTGTGCAGATGTAGCCTCCTTTTGCAGTTTTGTTTTGCTGCAGGAAATTCGGATTTGTTTTGTTTTGGAAACATTCTGAAAAATCTGATGCGTGAAAACGGCGTGGAGTCCGGATAAGTTACGCGTGACTTATCCGGTTCGGTTACGCGGAGTGGAGATCGTGTGGGTGCGCTGATCAAGCAACCTATCTCTATATAAACCGAGCCGCCGCCTTTACGCAACTCACGCGAAATCAATCTAGGGTTTGCCTCCTACTTTGTGTTGCGCCGTCGCTCGTAGACTACTCCATCCCGCTCACCGGCGTGCACCGGCGATCTGGAAAGCAGGTCTCCGGAACCTCTGCCTTTGACGTCCTGCATCGGGAGAAGGTGGCAATAAGGTTTTTGGGAAGCGCTTCGCGCGACTGCTCCCAGTTCGTCCGCGACGGCTCGCCTTCCTCTCCGCTCGCGTGCTGTGTGCCTTCGTTGATGCCCGCAACCGCGAATAGTTCCTACCGAGCAACCGGTCTTTCCGCCACCTCGGTACGTGTTCGACATGTTGCGTATTTTTAATCTGTTCATATTTTACTACTTAGTTTACATGTGTAGATCTAATGATGCGTTCATGCTAGTTTACGTTTGCAATATCATGATTTATTTATGGAATAAATTAAATCATCATGTTTTTATAATTTCAACACTATATCTAAACAAGATTGGAAATGAACGAAGGTATTCACATGTGTTTCCATCTAGTGCGTGTAGATCTTCTCAACTCCATATGCATCAAGCACATGATGGAATAAATCCCCCATCACTGAGTGGTGTAGATGGCTCGTCGTGACATGAAGAACTCCCTCAGAATCGTAAGTTATGTTGAATGTCTATGATACCAAGTTATAATAACCTGAGCCATAACGGGGTAAACACTACTAAGAGGATAGCTAGGCGGTGTTGGTTGCTAGGGAATGGATTTAGACTTTAGGTTGGAGAGGAGCATTAGAGGAGAGATTAGATTAATCTTGATTTATTGTTTAACTTAAAACATGATATATAGATGGTCCAACTTAACACTTAAGGGATTAACCTAATCTTGTTTCTAACTCTAACCAATGCTACGGTATTTAGCATGCTATAGTACCTCGAGGCACTATGCAATTGCCTAGTTATTTGGTATTGGGGTATCCACGGCCTTGTCCTTGTCCCCTTGCCACTTGGCCTAATGCCCATTACAAACTCACACAATGACACATTCACACGAAAAACATTGTATTTTCAATTTTTTTATACGAAAAGTTCAGATGACAATATAGCTTCCCAAAACCTAGACATTGTGCATCATATATGGTGAGATATAACAAAGCAGCAAACTCCTAAAGCTGCAAGATCTCGACGCAAAATTAATTTGCAGAAACATGAACCAGGAAGTATGTATATTAGAAAGCACGTGCCACAATTTTTAACCATCCACATTGATGGGTTCAACAAGAGCACCGCACACAGGGGGGAGGGGTGTCAGCGACAGTGCATGATCGTGCTCATGGGGACAAATTGGCAAGGGAGGTGTCGATCAATCTCTTGGGAGGGTGGTGGCAACCATTCTCTCGACGGCGTAAGAGAATGCACACGAGGTAAAGGGAGTTTCGTGACATTGGTTTTAGTGGAGCCCACACGAAACAAATATTAACTATGTAATAAAATATAGCAATTTAGTATTGTATTAGACATCATTTAGACGTGTCTAATCCAACATTATGGAACGGAGGGAGTATTTTCGAAGCCATGATACACACCACTAAGTTAAGTGCCTATATGTATTTGCCATGTCAACCTGCTGTGGACCCCACAAGTCAGATTTGCGTAGAAACAGTGAGAGGTTTGAATTAGTAAACTGGTCTTACATCCTTATTTAAAAAAATGAAAACATAACGAAGCACACGACCGCGTGGCCTAATGGATAAGGCGCTCGCCTCCGGAGCGGGAGATTGTGTGTTCGAGTCCCAGCGTGGTCGGGTTGGTTTTAATTTTTATCTATTTTTCCTGGATAGTGTATTAGTTTCCATTGTTTTTATTCTTTATCCACTACTCGTTCCGTACTAAAATACAAGTATTTTTAGAATAGTAACAAGTCAAACATTTTTAACTTTAACTATAAATAAAAAAAAGTTCAATCCATTCTTTTTTACATTAAACAAACTATCATATGGAGATGAAAAAGAGAGATGCAGATCAGATTCGCCAACTCGTGCGAATGAACGCCCTGCTGCGATTAAAATGGGAACAAAAATGATAGAGATCAAAATGAACAGAAAAATGCAGCTGTACATAGACATAAAAATGAACTCGAAAATACAACTGTGCACCAGACCATATACGGGTGTTTATATTTATGGCTAACTATTTTTTAGTGAAAGACAAATTACCTGCCGATAGTGAAGTGTCTTTAAAATATATCTGTCAGTTTTTGAAGCTGCTCATAAGAATACTTATGACGTGCTGTTTATAAGGACAAGTGTATGTACATATACACAGTGGCGAAGCCACAGGGGGTGCCGGGGTGGGCCTGGCACCCCCCATCCCCATGCGCTGCAAACCCCACCCCCGGATGATTAGCCATCTAATCCATAAAATTAGCTCATTAATTTGTTGCAAGTTGAGCCTATACCTACCTAGCTGTCCAATAGGTTTTAGCTTTACGTGATTACCTGAGTTAATTAACGTAATTAAACGATGTGGTTGCAAGTCTATTAATGTAACTAAGCGATGTGGTTGCAAGTCTCCAAAATTAAAAAGGATGAATAGAAATGATGTCGTGTGTCATTCTGTATTGAGTAAAGTTGGTGCTATTTAGTGACTTTAAAAATGGTTCTTTTTATACTATATTAACATATATTCGGACATACATCCTCCATTCTAAAATAAGTTCAATTTTATACACCAAGATCCACGCTATATTATCTACCGAGGCGCTGGTGAGTTCTTACGTCTCCTGGCCAGCACCCCCTATACCCAAATCCTGGCTTCGCCACTGCATATACATACACTTATGAGCACACATTCATATGTGTTTTGAAGAAAAAAGAGAGTAAAAAATGAAAGACATAAAAATGAACGAAAAATAGGTGCCAAAATGAACGGAAAAAATACCGCTGTGCTGTGAAAATGACAGAGATAAAAGTGAAAAAAGTACCAAAATGCACAAATAAAATAGCACTGTGCTGTGAAGAAAGATGAGACAAATGAGTGAAAAACACACACACAAAAAAAAATCAAAATTGAACGTAAAACATGATCAATGTGCTGTGATCATGTATGGATAAAAAGTAAAACCGGATCAAAAATTAATGTTGAATTCAAAATGCACGAATTTTGCCAAAAAAAAAATTACCGCTGTGCTGTGAAAATGATAGAGATAAAAGTGAAACAAAGGTACCAAAATGCACAAATAAAAAGCACTGTGCTGTGAAAAAAAGATGAGATAAATGAGTGAAAAACACACCAAAAAGAATCAAAATTGAACGTAAAACATGATCAATGTGCTGTGATCATGTATGGATAAAAAGTAAAACCGGATCAAATATTAATGTTGAATTTAAAAGGTAAGAACTTTCCAAAAAATTCGCGCCAGGTAGGGGTCGAACCTACGGCCTTCTGCTTAGGAAACAGACGCTCTATCCACTGAGCTACAGGCGCTTAGTGCTGTCAATTATTAAAGCAATTATATTATCAAAATAATGCCGATGCTGCTGCTACTGCCTACAAAAATCAACTCGGGGTCGCTAAGAAAAACATGAATTGGCCCATATTATTTCATTCACATAAAGCTAGGGTTCGCTATTTTTAATTAGGTGTTGAGAAATTGATATTTTTATATATAACCGCCCACAATATATTATTTTGTATTTTATTTTTTTATCTATTTATGATGTACAAACATATTAATCATATATTGGATCTGGGAAATTTTTTTGCTTTCACCATGCCAATTTTTTCACGCATTTAATCACTAAGAATAAGCATTTAAAACTATTTTATTTGAATGAAAAATTGATTAACGATGGTATCTAGCCAGTTGTCAATAATCTCCTTTGCAATCAAAATTTTGAATCCAAACATTAGTTGAGTAAATTACAGTAAAGACCTTTAACCTGTTGTTTACCGATTCAGTGGATAACATGTATTTCCAACATTAATCCAGAGTGCAAACAAACAGTGGAAATGATGTGAACCATAATATTTTTTTTATTACGTGTCTAATTAATTGACTTACTAAGCCATGAAAAAAAATGAAGCATAAAAACATACTTACAACTTTCATATCTATGTTGTTCTCGGTTTAAAAAGCGATGTTAGAAAATAGACAACTTCAAAATCAGGTAAAAAGATAAGTTTTAAAATTTAAATTTTATTTTAGGCTTATAGCTTATAAGCTAACAAGCAAATGTTGTTACGTAAAAAAACTGGAAAAAAAATAATCTGTAAGAAACTCCGTTGCAACGAACGGACCCTTAGCTAGTAGGTGCCAACGTTTAAAAAGGTCTAGTGTTTGCTTATCTGCAACACATACAAAAACAGTCTAGTAAGTGCTTTTCTGCTGTGTATTCATATAATTAACTTGTTGATGATGTGTCATGTTTACATGGGATTTAAAATAGTTTAGAATAGTACTCCTTCCATCTACTTTTGATAGTCATATTTCTAAATCTGAAAAATTTATTTTTGATAGGCATATTTCAATCCAACAACCTATCCTCTTAATGACTTTCTCGGATTTAATGCGTGACTCTTTATTCTTTCACACAGGATTGGCTACATGAGCATTGAGAAATGTAAATATTAATGAATCGCTTGTTTACGAGGAATAATTAGTAGCATGTTTAAATGGATGATAAGTAGAATTACTTATCCTTAGTCTGTGTACTAAGATAACATATGACTATCAAAAGTAGATGGAGTAATTGCTAGTGACTGAAGATGTGGCATGCTTGTATAGGATTTTAAATGGGTTATAATAATAGTAATTGCTAGTGAGTGATGATGTGGCATGCTTGTATGTTTAATTGCTAGTGAGTGAAGATGTGGCATGCTTGTATGGGATTTTAAATGGGCTAGAATAGTAATCGCTAGTGGGTGATGATGTGGTATGCTTACATGTTAAGCTTTAGCTTCTAATAATTGTTAGTAGGTATCAATAGATTGTTTAATTTAACTGGCCATGGAAAGAATGGTATTGGCATCAATGGCATGACCGTTTCTATAAAACCCTTCTTATTGATCAATGCATGATATCTTTAATTAAATCCCCTTTCCCTTTTTCTCTTCTAAGGTGATGTTTGGAACCAGATACTTAACTTTAGTCTATATATTTAGACACTAATTTAGAGTATTAAATATAGACTACTTACAAAACTAATTACATAAATGAAAGCTAATTTGCGAGATAAATTTTTTAAGCCTAATTAATCTATAATTAGAGAATTTTTACTGTAGCATCATATAGGCTTATCATGGATTAATTAGGCTCAATAGATTTGTCTCGCGAATTAGTCCGAGATTATGGATGAGTTTTATTGATAGTCTACGTTTAATATTTATAATTAGTGTCCAAACATCCCATGTAATAGGGACTTAAAAGTTTTAGTCCCATCTAAACAGGGTCTAAGTCCTTCTAAATCTGTTACTCATATAACTGTCTAACTGAGATAAAGTTTAAGGTTGTCATATCATATCATCGTCACGTTATATATATGATCCCTGCACTTCTCTTTTTATAGAATGGACGAGACTCTTTTTTCTGTATATGTAGCGGTCTTGTACTCTTGTTAGTACCATTTTGCGTCCCATTTTGACGAGACGACTGGCGTGCCATTTTGCGTCCTGGTTCATTACAGTCTAATTTGGTGACAAACAAACAAGGAACAAATAGGTCCCATGGTCTAGCGGTTAGGACATTGGACTCTGAATCCAGTAACCCGAGTTCAAATCTCGGTGGGACCTTAATTTTCTCGGTTTTATTTTCTGCCTGAGCTTATTGTCCTCCTCCTGATTTTTTGTTGTTGTCTATTTTCTCTGCCGGAAAAATGTATCAAACTCGTCGATTCTACTCGTTTGAGAGCTTAGTGTGATATTGTCCTTCTCCTGAAGTTTCTATTTTTTACTCTCTCTGTTATGAAAATTTTCATGCTAGAATGATTTACATTGTGAAATGGAGAGAGAACTCGTTTGTGCTTATTTATCCTTCCCCTGATTTTTTTCCACACCAAAACATATATTGTGATAATTGAGTATGCTACGCGTCTGACGTACTACGAGTTTACTCCCTCCGTCCCAAAAAAAGACAAACCCTGAGTTTTCATGTCCAATGTTTGATCATATTATTTGAAAAAATTATGAAAAAAATTAAAAAGACAAGTTACGTATAAAGTATTAATCATATTTTATCATATAACAACAATGAAAATACTAATTATAAAAATTTTTCATATAAGACGGACAGTTAAACGTTGGACACGAAAATCTAGGATTTATTTTTTTTTATAGAGGGAGTACGAGGTAAAAATCGTCCTCAGCGCCTTCAGAAAAAAAAAGGACAAAAATCCTCAGCGCCAACCGACTCCGCTCCACAGACCACAGCCGCCCAAGTGTGCGAGGACAACGGCGGCGGCGGCGGCGGCTAGGTTTTTGCTGCACCCGACGCCACCGCCCACCAGCGAGTGTGGTGGGCCGCGGCGGCCCATAAAAGAAATATCTAGGCGGCCCATGTAGCGCCAGAAAATATCTTCTCCCCCGCCTCGGGATCCTTATCCTCCGCCTCGCGCGGGGTGCCGTCCGATCAGATCAGGACGGCCGCGTGGGGCTATAAAAGGAGGGGGGGTAGGGCAAGCAGTGCCTCCTCGTGCTCTCTTTGAGGTGGGTTGGCTTCTCCTCCCCCTCTTTACCTTTTCCTCCTCGGTTCGGTTCCGTGGTTCGTCTAGGGTTTAGTGGGTTGAGATGGCGGCGCCGGATGTCGAGTACCGCTGCTTCGTCGGCGGCCTCGCCTGGGCCACCGACGACCGCTCCCTCGAGGCCGCCTTCTCCACCTACGGCGAGATCCTCGACTCCAAGGTTCGCCCTCGCTCTCCTACGCCGTGTCTTGTGATGGGTTTTTTTTGGGTGGTTTCTCGTGTTGGCTGGATCTGTGTTGAATTTGTTTGGGTTTTTTTGTTGGTTTGCTCGGATCTGTGATCCTGGGGGGTTTTGCTCGTGCTGTTCTGATCTCGTTGGTGCCAGATCTGTGTGGAGGGGTTGATTTGGTGGTTTTTTTGGGTGGATCTGATGGGGATTTGTGTGTTTTTGTTTTGGTTGTTTGCAGATCATCAACGACAGGGAGACGGGGAGGTCACGTGGGTTTGGCTTCGTCACCTTCTCCTCCGAGCAGTCGATGCGCGACGCCATCGAGGGCATGAACGGCAAGGAGCTCGACGGCCGCAACATCACCGTCAATGAGGCCCAGTCCCGCCGCTCCGGCGGCGGAGGCGGGGGCTACGGCGGCGGCGGTGGCGGCTACGGCGGCGGTCGTGGAGGCGGCGGCTACGGAGGAGGTGGCGGCGGCGGCTACGGGCGCCGTGAGGGCGGCTACGGTGGCGGCGGCGGCTACGGCGGCGGCCGTGGCGGCGGCGGCGGCGGCTACGGTGGCAGCCGTGGCGGCGGCTACGGCGGCGACTCCGGCGGGAACTGGAGGAACTGATTGGTGGGGCCCATCGTGGCCAGTTATCCTTAGCTATCCGTGTCAGAATCATCTTATCATCGAGTCGAGTCGTTATCGTGTCCAGTGGCTCTCTCGAGTCGAGAAGCCCTCTATCCATCCATCCAGTGTTAGGTGTTCTTCGTCCGTGATGTTACCATGAATTGAGTTCGCTTTGGTTATGGTGTTTGAACTGCTTGTTGCTATCTATCGGAATGAAATGAAATAGAAAACAAGGAGAAAAAAAAGAGTTCGAAAGTTTTGTTCGCATACCATATATTTCCTTCCGGTGCGCGCTGTTTATTCCTCGCTCAGCAGCAAGATTGTTTGATCGATATTGCAGCAAGCAATTACACAATAAATATATTGCTACACTGGTACTTCAAACTACACTGGTGGTCGGTGATTTTCAATAGCATGAACCTTAATTGAACATCTGTGTAGCTTACATCTCCTTCGAAAGCTGCAATGCTTGAGAACTTGGAAAGAAATTCTTGTGATGGCAGAAGCTATTCACTGTCCTTCGCTGCATTTACAGTCCATACAGACACAGCATTTCCATTTTGCACAAGATAGAGAACAACAATCAGCCTTTTAGGTCAATCCCAAGTGTGCATCTTACTGATTGTCGAATATGTGCTAAGAACCTGCAAGAGAGTGAGGATTTTTATCATTGATTGATTGTCGAATATATGCTAAGAACCTTCAAGAGAGTGAGGATTTTTATCATTGATGGAGCTTTGTTTCTGTAATCCAAGATTTGGGAAACAGTTTATCCATGTTAGGGAAATGATTTATGCAAACAATATTTTGGAGCAAAAGTTAGATAGTAGTATATGTCTGCCGACGACCTCAACCCAAAATATTGTTTTGAGGAACTCTTGGATTACAGAACAAAATACTGATTCCAAAATGATTTATGCAAACAATATTTTGGAGCAAAAATTTTGTTTCTCCAAGAATTCAGAGAAACAATCATACTTTTTTAACACAACCATCACATTGGAGATTTCAAAACAGCAGAGATGATAGGATCTACTCTTTCCATGTCTTCATCCAAACTTAATTAAGCTTATAATTGTCCTTTTATCAATTTGCGAAGAAAGAATGAATGTTGATAAGCAGTCAATGCAAATGTCAATTATATGAATAATATCTAAAGTTTAGCATGCCAACTAAAGCTTGTAATATGCCAGTATGTTTAAATGAGAGATTGAAAATGTAGGGGAGTATAGTCGATATAGACTTTCAGTAAGGCAAGAAGAAATGCAATGTCATTATGTTCCAGGATAAAAGGGTCAACAGAAAGACATCATCATGATCTCAAGCCTTTGCCCGCTTCATTAGGAAAATACTCAGCAGAGTGTAGAATCTTTTGAGCTTAATGACCAAAAATCTGCATGACCACATGGTAACGTAAGTAAATTCTTTTCTACTTTCAGTTTGGAGATTTAGTTGTTCACACACCTCCAAATTAAGAACCAAGATGCATTGATTCATTCTGAAGGACTGAAAAATGGAAGAAAAGGAAATGATGGAGAAGAAAGAGGAGAGCTCGTGCCATTTGGATCTGTTCAGTTTCGCCCTTAGCAGTGTCGATCCAAATTCAGAGATCCAAAAATGATTTGTGAAAAAAGGTACAACTTTGGTGTGATTGAAGCAGCCGATGACAGAACCATAAGAGCAAGATGTACACTAATGGTGGTATGATCAGGATTACCTTTGGCCAAGCTGTTCCAAGAGTTGTAATTTAGGATACAACAGAAGTGCTTAATGCATTTGGCCAGACAAACAACTATCAGCAAACGACGAAAATCATACAGTATCATCACTAAACACTGAAGGCGAATCAGGGGAAATTAGGAGAATAGCATACCTCTCTCTTTTTTACACTCGTTATAATCGTTCAAACTGCTGCTGGCCCTTGCTTTTGTCTTGGTTGGCTTCCAAACCTGCAGAGCCAACATGAAGTTCATCAGAGATTAACCACACATGCATGGAACTCTCCAAAAAAGTATGATGACTGTGAAGGGGGTCGAGGAGATGAGGGTCGTTAAGTGAAGATTAGGACGGATGGATTCGCTTGAGGGAGGTGGTATACTGGGGAAGCAGTCGGAATCGGCGATCCTGGCGACGCTGGGGTACGGGCCGGGACGTCGCCGCCGGCCGCCGCAGCCGCCGCCGCCGAGGACACTGGGTGGGCGGAGTCATGGCCACATTCACCGTCGCCACCATGATGTCATCTTTTTTCCTCCTCTTGGACGCCTGGTCCAGTATCACGAACAGGTAGATCGAGCCGTCACAAACCCGACGCAGACATCGCTAACTCCAGACCTCCTCAGTCTTCACCCTCTTCCCCACCTCCAGCCAGGGTTCACTTTCTCGTTTTCGGCCTTTGTATCGGGCAATGCCGATATGACGAAATAATTTTGGTCCGAAATTTCTAAAATTTAAAACAAAATCTAATCAAATTTGAACAAATGTTACCAAAATTCATGAAAAATTAAAATAAATTAAAAATTTCAGCTGAAATAATATCGTATTGGAGGGGTCCGAAATGACCCGAATTTCCGAAATTTTGATCATTCCGAAATTTCCAAAATAATTTAGGAAATTTCAGTCCGAAATGTGAAACCCTGCCTCCAGCTTCTCGCCGCTTGCAGCCGCCCTCCATCGCCAACGGGGGAGAGGGACGACGCACCACGGGGCCGAGCCATCCTCTTCAACACTTCAAACCATGACCGGGTAGAACAGCCGCAGAAACTCACACCATGGCTTAAGCTCTGATAAAGAGAGCAGATCTGAAGAAGGAATTGGAGGAGAGTGAAAGGGATTTGGACATGATGGTCAGTGTAAGTGGTGCACATTTTCTCATGATCTTTTTCTCTTGATTTACTCTATAGTTCTGGCTTATGGATGATATTTATACCTTATTTCATCTACCGATCAGTCTTGCATCATAGTAAATTATATAGCGAGTGAATTGACAGCCTGCTAATTTGTTCCATGCTGCACCCTGCATTTTTTTTCTCAGCTCATCCATTGTCTGATTGTTTACATGGAAGGCTTACTCTGTTTTGGTTGAAAAAGCTTAGTTGGGAGAATCTGTCTTTTCTTTGTATGATATAAAAGTAACATACTCTTTGGACGTGCTTTTTCTGCATTTTTTTTTTGCCTTACACACGTCCAGATGCAATCTAACCAATAGACGAAGAGAGAGAAGGACGGCGGCCGGCGCCGGTGGGGAGAAGGGCCGCGATGGCGACCAACAGGGATGAGGGCATGACCAGCGGGAAGGAGTTAGGTGACAAAGACCTCATGTCCCTTCGAGCGGCGACGGTGGATCCGCCCATCGCCTTTCTCCCCTCTCCCTCCCGGCATCCTTCCTCCCTCCCCGAGCTCCCTGGCTTGCCGGTGAGCGCACGTAGAGAGAGAAGGACGGCGGCCAATGACCGGTGGGGAGAAGGGCGGCGGACGGCGGCCATGGGGGAGAAGAGCGACGACGACCTCATGTTCCCTCTCCCTCCCTACATCCTTCTGCCTCCTCCCCTTTCCCTCCTGGCATCCTTCCTCCCTCCTCGAGTTCCCTGGCCTACCGGCGAGCGCGCGCAAGAAAGAGATGGCCGGTGGTTGGCGGCCGGCGGCCGACGGGGAGAAGGGTGGCAGGAAGCGGCCATCGGGGAGAAGGGCGACGACCTTGTCTCCCTTCAAGTAACGGCGGTGGAGCCGCCTGCCGCTCTTTTCCATCTCCGCCGCCGTCGTCACCGCTGGCCGCATCTGGTGCCCATCCGCCCCCCTCTCCGGCTCTCTGCGCTCCCACCGTTGATGCCCTCCCCTTTTCCCGCGTCGCCGCCGCCAAACCTCCCCGTGACCTCATGGCACCTAGAGAAAAGAAGAGGGGAGAGGGGAGAGAGGAGGGGGGGGGGGGGGGGGGGGTGTTGAGAATGACATGTGGGGCCCATGTGGGCCACATCATTTTAATTATTTTTTTTAACTGACATGTGGGATCATAGTTGTATTATTTTCCAAATCAAATTACCACGTCAATGCCACATCAGATGAAGACCGAGTATATTTAGCCACGTCAGCTAAAACCGCCGTCCAAACTGCCATGGGACTTATATTGCACTGATTTTGACAGTTGAGGGACGAAAATCGGACTCGTTCATAAGTTAAGGGACCTCAGATGAACTTTTTCCATTCAGTCTTGGGGAGTCTAGGGGATTATCGGAGTATATGGGCCTGTGAGGTCACGTGCTCTGGTGGGCTTTTTTCTTTTTCAAAATGGGCCTGCGTAAGGTTTATTGATTTCATTTCGGCCTTTTACTAATTTATGCCCAACCCAAAACTTTGTATGGGTTTCTTTTAGATATAAGTTCAGTTCAGGTCCCTTAGTTTGTCTATGAATTCGATTTTCATCTTTGAACCCAAAAAATAGATATGATGGGCCCCTCAACTATTAAAACCGGTGCAACATTAGTCTGAAGGCACTATAGATGGTTGTTTTGTCCTATGTCGCACTTGGACTATGGTCAGCCTACATGGAGCGCCACATAAGCGGTCAACTCTGGTCAAACGCACTTTAGACCAACTATGGTTCACTAAAACAAGATCATCGATCTTAATACGTAATTGATAAGTCTACGGACCTATATGATACATATGCTCAAGTTTAAGTATCGACCATGTATTTTACTCTTAAAATTATTTCCATAATCATGCACCAGTTAGGAAAAGCTTCAACAAGCAAGCAAGCCGAACGTATATGCGCCGTATTTTGGACAGGGGAGTCAAATCAACCACATCACCATGCATATTTCTACATATACACTGGTCATTTTTTTTGGGTACATCGGAAATCATTTTCACCGGATTTAGCCCAGACAACCAGTATCCCAATGAGTGATTAATTACTTGTATTATACTCATTGTTGCCTTGTTGGCTCTTTGAGGTCAGAAAGGGACAATTGAAAGGCCTCGATTGAACAAACGTTAGGACATGATGCGCTTCTATATAAATTCAAGGAACAAAAAAGCAAGCTAATTAAGGTTTTGTGTTCTGCATAATTAATCCATTAAGTATAGTGAGATCTGAGGTGAGGAGAGGATTAATTAAGACAAAATCTAGCCAAACTTGTGTGAATCTCCCTCTAATCCATATGCATGATCCCCCCCCTCTTGCTTTGCAAATACTGTGAGCTTAATTAATTCCATGTCTCTCTCTAATTCTGCTTTTGATGTTGCAAGTTGCAAGAAGCTTCACCTCTCCTAGGGTTTATACAAGCAGCGGCATGGACGACTCGAGCCTCTTCTTGCATTGGGCGGTGAGCACGCTGCAGCACCAGCACCCGGCGGCCGTCGCAGTCGTGGCCGACGACGACGCCACGTTCTTCTCGTTCCAGGAGCTCTGCGACACCGAGGAGGTGGTTGTTGTCCCGGTCCAGGAAGAAGTGATCACGGAAGCGCATGGTGGTGGAGCCAGCAGAATCGGCCTCGCCGTGGCCGTGGATGAGCACGGAGGCTGGTCAAGGTCCCCGAATCCGGGGGCCAGGCCGCCGTCTGGTGGATGCGGCAGCAATAATCTGCCCCTGATGAGCTGGGACTTCAGCGCCGCCTCGGTGGCGGTGCAGGTGCAGCCGAACGGCGGCGGCGGTGGCGGCGCGCCGGAGATGGCGTACGGGTCACCGCCGGCGGCCGGGGGATCCACCACCAGGAAGACCTCGGCGCCCACGGTGGGGCGGCGGCGGCGTACGCGCAGCTGGAGCACGTCGTCGCGGAGCGGAAGCGGCGGGAGAAGATCAACCAGCGGTTCATGGAGCTCTCCGCCGTCATCCCCAAGCTCAAGAAGGTATAAAAAATCTCACCAATTCCTCAACATGAAATGCTCCGATCGAATTTGCTTTCGTCTCGTGATCGATTTGATGATCAGATGGACAAGGCGACGATCCTCTCCGACGCGGCGAGCTACATCAGGGAGCTGCAAGAGAAGCTCAAGGCGCTAGAGGAGCAGGCTGCTGCCAGGGTCACCGAGGCAGCAATGGCGACACCGTCGCCGGCGAGGGCGATGAACCACCTTCCAGTTCCGCCGGAGATCGAGGTGCGGTGCTCGCCGACGAACAACGTTGTGATGGTGAGGATCCATTGCGAGAACGGCGAGGGGGTGATCGTGAGGATCCTCGCCGAGGTCGAGGAGATCCACCTCAGAATCATCAACGCCAATGTCATGCCATTTCTGGATCAGGGCGCCACGATGATCATAACGATCGCTGCAAAGGCAAGTTCTTCATTATTATATTAATTACGAGTAATTAATATATATTACTTGTGAGTAATATTTTATGTTATCTGTACACTATCTCGTGTGTCTTTCCAAAAACAGATTAGTGAATGCTTTAATCGGTCACATCCGTCACGCATAACGTCACTGCTGATGATGCTCTTATATGGTACCATATGGTATATTATGCATCTCATGTGAGTCATGTTGTTTTTGGCATTTGTTTTGGGTTTTGGTTAACAACACTCAAGAGATCAATGGAATATCTAGCTGTTAGATTCGCACCACGGTTCATGCATCACTAGCCTCTAGCATCATTAATAGGTGTACAGATAATCTTATCTGTAACATAAAGTATTAGTACTAGCTAAGTAGCTATATATATCGATAGATCTGTAATCATGGTGATATTTAGAAATCAATCGGTCTGAGGTTAAAGTTCAAGATTTAGAGCAAGATCGATTCGAGAAGGCGCCATTGCAACAATATGGCTATTAGAAATGAGAGAAATAGCGTTATCCAAGATGAGAGAGAGGGAGATAGCGCTGAGCTGAGCTTAATTAATTAGGAGAGGTGGCATGGTGACCTTTTTTTTTTTCGGACACGGATGTGTAATTCAATCAATGGCAAGATGAATTTGTGTTTTTTGAGATGTTGGAGCACATTTTAGCCATTATGGACTCCTTGTGGAATGCAACAGTTTGCCATGAATTTCACTGAAATTTTTGCATAAGTTTCACAATAAATAGTGCATTTTGCTCAGGACTATTTTTTTTTTAGAAAAAAACTCACATTCTAAAGAAGCCAAAAGATAGGTGCGGACTTGCTGCATCTTCCATATATAACATCTTATTGAAATGTGTAGAGCTATATTACTTTTTTGTAAGTTAATTCCTTGCGGAAGAACATTGTCAAGTGTCAACAACTCAACATATACTGTTTCCGTTTTTCTTGAAGAGACATACTGCTTGCATTTATTGTCTTATGTGTATATTATCATCTTAAAAGTGTTTACACCACTTATTTGGAACAAATGGTTGATAAATTAAGGAATTTTGTAGGACTTTTCCTATTTGATCCTATGGAACAAAGCTAGTATCAGGGTTAGTTTTTAGAATCTTATGAAATTCCCAACCCAGTTATATAATTGATCAATACGTAGGAATCTTAGAGGGAAGTGTGAGATCCAACCTCATGGAATTTACTTTGGTCTGTATTTTCCTATACTTTCTTTTTGTCTATTTCTACATTTTTTTTCTATGCTTTGCAATCCCTTTTTGTGCACATGGCCACATGTATTCATGCTAAATCCCAACATTTTCCCTATATATTATTGTGTTAATTCCTACATTACAAAGGAGAAATCTTTGAAAGAGCTGGAGCAATTTCACCTAAATTCTTACATTCCAAAGAGTTGGGTCCTAGCTTTTAAGGTTGAGAGTAAATTAATGGAGTTCTAACATTTCTACTCTTTTATGAGTAATTTATTGATGAGTTCAATATTGTAAATCTTATTTCTATTTGACATACCACTAGCTATAGGTAGGAGAGGAAATATCTACTGTGGAAAAATCGTGTGCTAAAACAAAAACAATCATACATATATATAATTCAAAAATTACCCCTTTTTTAAAAAGAAAACTTTGTACTTAGTTCTCTGAAATGAAATTGCTCAGAATAAATCATTCTTTTCATATAATCATTCTTTCTCATATATAAACTCCATAAATATTTTAGGTAGAGGAAGGCTTCACAGTCAAGGCAGAGGAGATTGTAGGCAGGCTTAACTCAGCTTTATACAAACAAGACGTCAGCACTGCTATTGAGGAAAACAGAAACTAAAATTCGTACTCCCTCCGATTTAAGATGTAAGTTGTTTTAGCTTTCTCAACTTCCCCAAAATGCAAGTCATTTTAAACTTCTTTGCATTTTTCATCTTAATTTCCTTTTGATTATTCATCCTTGTGAAAAAAAATGACTATTCTTTCCCAATAATGCAGTATACGTATGAAGAGCAAGAAGTCATTTGAACTATATATCGCACAAGTTTAAAATGACTTGAACTTGAAATCAGATGGAGAACGCTATATAGTACATCTACATCAGGGGTTAATTAATATATACTACCTTCGTTTCAGGTTAAAAGACTTTATAACACTACTCACATTCATATATATATTAATGAATCTAGTCACACATATATATCTAAATTCATTAACATATATATATGAATGTGGGCAATGCTAGAAAATCTTATAATATGAAACGGAGGAAGTACGTATGTATAGACTTCCTATACGCGGTATACATATGCACGTGAAAATACACATATGCTTGGATACAATGGAGCTTGTACTTGGACGGTCATGGTATATATATTTGATGGGTCGTCTTTGGAACGGATGCATCCCAGTTGCACGTACATATATTCATAAAAGATTGCAAATTTGCGGCATGAGAATCGGTACGATCGGTCGACATGCAAATTTTAACTTGGCCAGCTTAATTGGGCATCATCAACTCACATATTTGGTGTGCAAATAATACAATTGTTAGTTAATTATTGCATCTTACTAGTACCATGCAAAAAGAAAAATGATGACATATTGATTGATGTGCTACATCTCTTGCAAGTTGCAATGTGCTCGCATCCATCGGGATCGACTTAATTTCCTGCAATAAATAAAGATCAAATTGTGTTAATCAAATCCTTAATTTGCTGATGTATTGACATGCAGATCTTTACTTTGATTATATAATCGACAACTCCAGGTGGCCGGGGTACTAACGTACTATAGGAAAAAATAATTTTAGGAAAAATTACAAATTACCCCGTGAACCATTGGGTGAGTACGAATTGTTGGAAATTTGGTCATAATTCGGCATATTTTAATCCAAAATATTAAGACAATAAACATGACATTTGCAATATGAGTAGATCTAGTGATAGTGCTAGATGTATACAACTTGAGTATGCTTAATATGAAATAAGCATCAACATTTACATAGTAACGCAATGCTGCCATTGCGAAGAGTATTAACAAAGAAACATCTAATAGAATCGGGAGAATGAAAGTATACCCCGAGAACGTCCCACCGCTGGATTTTGAGGCAGTATTGCCTCCGTTGATGTCGTTCATCTTCTTCTCTCCAATCTCCATTGACATCTTGGTGAAGGTACCGATGCAGTAGCAGTAGCCGCGAAGAACAAGAGCAGTCGCGTTTGAAGCGCTACCCAAAAACTTGATCGCCCACCTACCCGTGCAACTTCTCAAGCGGACGGAGTTCCGGAGGGACCTGCTCATCCCGTACAACTGTGCGCGCAGGTGAACAGAACCGGGGAAGGATTCTGCAGCTCAGGAACAGAGGAGGAGGAACTCGAAGTGCAAGAGTCGTGAAGAACTTCGTTCGTCCTTCTGGTTGCTGTGGAGTATATATATGCGAGCGCGAGAGTAACGTTCGGAGTCATCAACCGCGGTGTTTAATTTCGTAACCGACGTGCTCGTTAATACGGAATCAATTCACGGCGTTTAATTCCGTATCCGACGGAATCAATTCATGACGTTTAATTCCGTAACCGACGTGTTTATTGATACGAAATCAATTCTCCGTGTTTATTACCGTCCGTTACAAAACGAGAGAGTGCAGCAGCAGCTGCTGTCTGCCTCGCCTCGCCTCGCCCCGCCTGGTTGTTTGCGCACCATCTCAACCGGTCAACAGAGACTCTCCACTAGCTCCGTATTTAAGTTGAGACCTCTTCACTTAGATTTCCAAGGTGGTATTATTACCCATAGCACTTAATGTGGGCCAATGGAATTTATTAGGATTTAATTGGGCCTAGCCCATTAATCTAACAATCCCCACCAAATTTCATGGCTCACAGGAAATGTTCTCGATTCTGATCCTGTTTGTTATACCAGTGTTTCGGTGAAGACTGTTAAGTTGAACTTCCACCTAGGAAAAGAGCTACACCAGATCACAACTGAACAATGGACTATGCCTTGAATTGTCAGTCTTGTGCGATTCAGGTTTCACTCAAACCCTTAACTGGTACTAGGCTGCCGTTTACATCCCCTCTGTTTGGAGCATATAAGTCATACTCCTGGCCTTTTCATGAGTATCTAGAGATCACCTAGATCTCATAGACTGTGACTAGCAGTCGAACTCATATAGGTGTGTTCCCTCTAAGATGTTCTGTAGGCCAATATCTCTGCTTTATGAAAAGCCACTCGGATCACATTAAGGTGTATACCATCCTACCATACAGATTAGAAGAGAAGTGCATCATGAAGATAAGCCCATTTTAGGGTCTCTTCTCTCAGTTACACAATAGTTTGTTTCACCATCCAAATTCATGGGATCTCCGATCACAATGGATAGGTTTCCACCATTGTGCAACTCTAAGTGGGTCTCAAGCCCATCTCCCTTGATGCACAGTCTATCACATTACGTGGTAGCCCCTTGGTAAACTGATCTGCCAGATTTTTAGCCGTCTGGACATAGTCCAATGCTATCACTCCGGAGTTTTTCTGCTTTCTGACAGACTTCAGTCTTCTTTTAACATGCCTGGATGACTTCATGTTGTCCCTCGAACTGTTCACTTTAATAATCACACTGTTTGATTATCACAGTTCATCATGATTGCTGGTACTGGTTTTTCAACCACCGGCAAGTCCATAAGGAGCTCACGAAGCCATTCGTCCTCAACTGTGGCAGTATCTAAAGCTGTGAGCTCTGCTTCCATTGTTGACCTCGTTAAGATGGTCTGCTTGCAAGACTTCCAGGAAACAGCGCCACCTCCAAGTGTGAACACATATCCACTTGTGGCCTTTATCTCATCAGCATCAGATATCCAGTTTGAATCACTATAGCCCTCCAGCACTTTTGGGTACCCGGCGTAGTGAATTCCATAGCTCATTGTCCCTTTTAGATAGTGCATTACTCTTTCAAGAGCATGCCAATGATCATCTCCCGGATTTGAAACAAATCGGCTCAACTTGCTCATAGCAAATGAGATGTCAGGCCTCGTTGCACTAGCTAAGTACATCAATGAACCAATGATCTGGGAGTATCTCAATTGATCCCTTGCTATTCTTCGGTTTTTCCTTAATAGCACACTAGGATCATAAGGAGTAGGAGCTGCCTTGCAGTCACTATAACAAAAGCGACTCAAGACCTTGTTCACATAGTGATATTGCACAAATGTAATCCCACCCTCATCTCCTCTCAGTAGTTTAATGTTAAGAATAACATCAGCCACTCCCAAATCCTTCATTTCAAAGCTTTTGGACAGAAAGTCCTTGACCTCCTCAATCACATTGAGGCTGGTCCCAAAGATCAATATGTCATCGACATATAAACACAAGATCACTCCCTCTCCCCCACCATAGCAATAGTACACACATTTGTCAGCTTCGTTCACAACAAAGCCAGCAGATGTAAGTGTATTGTCAAACTTCTCATGCCATTGCTTAGGCGCTTGTTTGAGACCATACAAGGACTTCAACAGCTTGCACACCATTCCCTCCTGACCTTCTAGTACATACCCATCTGGTTGATCCATATAGATCTCCTCCTCCAACTCTCCATTGAGGAAAGCTGTCTTAACATCCATCTGATGGACGAGTAGACCATGAGAGGCTGCCAGAGCGAGTAGTACTCGAATCGTGGTCAAGCGTGCAACCGATGAATAAGTATCGAAAAAATCCTCGTCTTCTTTTTGGGTATAACCCTTGGCCACAAGCCTTGCCTTGTACTTTTCAATTGTACCATAAGGCCTAAGTTTTTTCTTGAAAACCCATTTGCATCCTATAGGCTTGCACCCATATCGACGCTCGATGACTTCCCAAGTACCATTAGATGTAATTGAGTCCATCTCACTGCGTACCGCTTCCTTCCAATAGTCAGCGTCAGGAGATGAATATGCCTCTTCAATGGTTTTTAGAGTATCATCCACAAGATATACAATGTAGTCATCTCCAAAAGACTTTGCAGTCCTTTGTCTCTTACTCTTTCGAGTTGCTACAATGTTATCCTCCTCAGGATTTTCCTCAAGCGTTTGATCAATGTGTTCTATCGGCACAAAGTGCTCAGGGGATAAAATAGGTTCTTGACTAGAAGTGCTAGGTGCATTTTTCATAGGAAATTCATTTTCAAAAAATGTGGCATCTCTAGACTCAGTAATTGTACCAACACGCATGTCGGGTACTCCAGAATTAACTATTAAGAACCTATATCCCATACTGTGGATAGCATAACCAAGGAACACACAATCTACGGTCTTTGGTCCTAGTTTACGCTTTTTGGCTATAGGTACATTTACCTTGGCCAAACAGCCCCATGTGCGCAGGTGAGAGAGATTTAATTTCTTCCTTTCCCATTCCTCGAATGGTGTTACTTTCTTATGCTTAGTAGGAATTATATTCAGGACATGACACGCAGTCAATATTGCCTCACCCCACCATTCCTTGGAAAGTCCAGCACTGTCTAACATGGCATTCACCATCTCAGTTAGAGTGCGGTTCTTTCTTTCGGCTACCCCATTTGACTGGGGTGAATAGGGATGCGTCCTCTCATGAATAATTCCATACTCTTCGCAGAAAGAAGTAAACTCATTGGAAAAATACTCTCCACCCCTATCAAACCTTAACCGTTTGATTTTCCTTTCCAGTTGGTTTTCTACCTCAGCCTTATAGATCTTAAAGTAATGTAATGCTTCATCCTTTGTTTTCAATAGGTACACATAGCAGAATCTAGTGCAATCATCTATCAGTGTCATGAAATATTTCTTTCCCCCTTTAGTCAACACGCCGTTCATTTCGCACAGATCGGAATGAACAAGTTCTAGTGGTGCCAAATTCCTCGCCTCAGATGCCTTGTGAGGCTTGCGAGGTTGTTTCGATTGAACACAAGTATGGCACTTAGAGCCTTTGACTAAAGTGAATTTTGGAATTAAACTCATGTTGGCTAAGCGTGTCATACAACCAAAATTCACATGACAAAGTCGCGAATGCCACACATTGGACTCATCATCATCATCGCTTACATGGTTCACAACTTTATTACACATATCATCCAAGGAAAAGCGAAACAAACCTCCACTGTCATAACCTTTTCCAATAAACGTTCCATATTTAGATACGACACATTTATTGGATTCAAACACAAGTCTAAAACCATCTCACACAGTAGAGAGCCGCTAACTAGATTCTTCTTTATTGAAGGGACATGCTGCACGTTCTTTAGCTGCACGATCTTTCGTGAAGTAAACTTCAGATCGACCGTACCAACACCATGAACAGCCGCAAGCGATCCGTTTCCCATCAACAAAGAGGAACCTCTCCCGACTTGATAAGAAGAAAATAGGGAAATGTCCACACA